CAGATCGCTTAAGCGATATATCAGATTGCTTAAGCGATCCATCATACCTAGAACACATTTTCTGTCATCTCCACCTACAATTGATTCCATCATACCCAGAACACATACCCAGAACAAATTTTCAACAAATTTCACTCCTTTCAACTTGCATTACATCAAACACAACCCAACAACCTAAACAACTAAATCAAAATCATAACCCAAACCCCATCCATTATTAAATCTTTGTAAGTCTAAATATAAAATGTAAAAAGGAAATACACATACTTAGAGGAAATGTCGGGAGGAGGAGGAAGGGGATCTTTGGCGGAGAAGATGTTAATGGTGGAGGAAGAATAAAGTGTTAATGGCAGAGGAACAAGAAGATATAGAGGAAGGAGGAAGAAGAAGAAGATGCAGAGGAAGGAGAAGATGCAGAGGAAGGAGGAAGAAGAAGAAGATGCAGCGGAAGAAGAAGATGTAGACAAAGCTAAGAAGAAGAGAAGAAGATGCAGAGGTAGAGATGCATTAATGGCGGGAAGGTGTTTGGGTTTGTTTGCAACAATTTCAAGTTTGTGGGAATATAGTATAATTTTGAAAAGATTATATAATACTTCATTAATCCTAATTAAGCACTAATTACCCTTAATCAATAATATGGCTATTGAGTTAACACTTTAAAACTTGATAGCCTTTTAATTAAATGCAAACTTGAAATGGCCTTTTAATAAACTGCCCCGGCTTTATGCCTCTCTATGTATATGCTGTTAAGGCCTGAGGGGTTTTAGACACGTTTTCTTTTCTTTTTTTTAGCTTATTAATCTTCTATTTATTTATAGAAATATTATAAATACAAACAAATCCTACAATATTTACCCTTTCATTCATTTTGTGTCACGTCAATTTGTATACAAATCTTTGTAAATTTTATTTAAATATTTAGTATTATTGTATTTATATATATGATAAAAAATGAACAAAACAAATAAATATGATGTGTTTAACCTTTTATATTCACTCTTCATCTTTGTAAGATTTCTTTTGTAGGTCTAAGAGCATCTCCAATGATGCTCTTTATTTTAAAGAGTACATTTCATATAAATAAAGAGTATTTTTATTTATTTCTAAATATAAATAACAAATTTTTTATTCAAATCCAATGGATTCTTTAAATTAGACTTAATAAATAGGAGAGAGACTTAATATGAAAGATGATTAATAATAAAATGCATGAAAACTTGTAATTTATTAAATGAAATTGAGATAGAGAGTGAAATTTGACTCTCTAGATATAGAGGGTCAAACTCACTCTTTAATTTATATTTAAAGAATAAAGAATATGTTGGTCTCTTGTTTTTATACATAAACTCTTTAAGTTCATTTGGAGATGCTCTGACATTGTTGATTTATTTAGGATTAATAACATTGACACCCCTTAAGATTTTAATGCTTTCCAAGTGCATAGAAAATGTCATTAGGTTAACAGGTAAACCTACTCAGCTAGTGTCCGTTAAGCCACATTTAACAAACAAAGGTCATTTAGGTAATTTGAATTAAAGATATTGAGACCATAAATTAGAAGTTGAGAAATTATAAAATTTTGAGTATGTTCCATACACGTCTAAGAAATATGTTAAATAAGTTATTTTTGAAATGATTTGTTATTGTTATAGTTGATTAAACTTATATTTCAATGGTTATGTTGAAAATGGGTGGTTTAGGCGTAATCTGGGTAGGGTTTCGGTTAACTTTGAAGGATTCAAACAAAAAATTAGCTAAAGGTTGAAGGAGTTTTGGCCGAAACCCATATATTGCTAGATTCGACTGGATTCGACCATTTGGACAGAACTTGTCTTGACCGAATCTAGCCAAATACCTGGGTGTCAGCCAAAACCCGAGTTCTGCATGTATTGTATACTAGCCGACATCATCCGAATTCTTAGGTATTTGACCACATTCAACCTTTTGGACAAAACCATTCCTGACTGAATTCAGCCAAATTCGAGCGAATACCTTGGTGTCGCCAAAGCTCCAAGTCCTATATATATTGTATACTGGCTGAATCAATCCGAATCTTGGGGATTCAGACGACTTCGGTCAATACTTGACATTGTCTAAATTTTGAGGAAATCTAATCTATGTTTTATTTTGTTATATTTCAGGAAATGAAAGCCTTAACTCGAATTCTTGTAAAGTATGGAAGACGGTCAGAGTCTTAAAATGATGGTTCATACAAGTAGCAACCATCCAAAACAAAAGCACTCCTAATACCTTCACATTTGAAGCATGAAGGCTCATTGCAGTTGTTAGAGCATCTCCAATAGTGTTCTTTATTTTTAAGAGCATCTTTCATATAAATAAAGAGTATCTTTATTAATTTTTAAATATAAAGAACACAATTTTTATTTAAATCCAATAGACTCTTTAAATTTAATGAAGATACTCTTTATTTAAAAAAAAAAAAAAAAGACTTAATGGGAGAGAGAATTAATAAATAAAATGCATAGAAACTTGTAGTTTATTAATTAAAATTTGGATTGGGAGTAAAATTTGACTCTCTAAATATTGAGAGTCAAACTCACTCTCTAATTTATATTTTAAAGATAAAGAACTTATTGGACTGTTGTTTTTATAGATAGACTCTTTATAATAAAGAATTCGGGTCATATAAAGAGTCATTTGGAGATGCTCTTACTTGAAGAATTGCTTATTGAAAACAGTTGATATACGTTGAAGCTGATTGTGAAGTACGTCACTTACGGATATGATGAGCCTGTTGAAATCAACGAGGTTGCATTTTTTATTGGCACGTGATTGGAAGAGCCTACCTAATACCTTCCGTTGCATATTACCAGCAAACACATTTATAATATTGAAGGTAATTCAATAATGAATGAAGGGTTGGTAATGAAGTTATTGACCTGTTTGGGGTGACATCGTTTAAATTACCTTTGATCATTTAAGCAATTGTGTATTTGAGAAGGATTATTCTAAGTACAAAAGTAAATTACCCTTGATCGTTTTAAGCGATATCGACTCTTGCTTAAGCGATCCTATACAGATAAGTCATGATCGCTTAAGCGATAGCTTACGTCGCTTAAGCAACCAAGGCCAATTTTCTTTGTACTTGAGTATTCCTTTTCAAATTTAAGATCACTTAAGCGATGTCAATTCTCGCTTAAGCGATCCTGTACAGATAAGCCGTGATTGCTTAAGCGACCAAGGCTAATTTTATTTGTACTTGACATTTCCTTCTCAAATTCAAGAAAATTAGCTTAAGCGATCCTATATTAATAACATCTCAATATTGAATGAAGTTACATGCACAACAACATCTCAATATTTAATTAATTTAGTAGCACAATAACAACTAAATATTGAATGAATTTAGTAGCACAATAAGAGCAACAATTAAGTAACTAGAAGCATCCTTACTATCATCTATTCAAAACTTCAAACAAAAAGATATCCAATTGTCAACATAAAAAATTGAAAACAACAAAGCATTCATAACAAGTTCAGGAGACAAAAAATGTAATCTCATAAAGTAATCATCAAAACCATTAAAATTGTTTTATGATTCACTAATAAATCTTCAACGGTTGGCCTTGGCAACTCTCTCGATTTCATCATTTTTCTTGATGGCATAGCTAGAAATACAAGGATATAAAATCAGTTTAATGCACCACAAAAGATTGACTTACAACCAAGAGAAACTAGTGAACAAGTAAACGAAATAGCATCTAGCCACTCACCAAAATAGTCAACACCCGAAACAACTTCTCTCATGTCTAATAATAGCCAAATGCCTATAATGCAAGAAAAAAAAAAATTATTAACCGATATATTAAGGGTTGACAAATTTTAAAAAACATCTGCAAAGTAGCTTAAGCGATCTGGTGTATCGCTTAAGCGATTTTGTATAAATAAGTTTGATCGCTTAAGCGATCTGCTGTCATATACCAAACTTATACCAGATCGTTTAAACGATCTGCTATTATATATCAGACTTATACCAGATCGCTTAAGCGATATACTAAATCGCTTAAGCGATCCATTAGCTCCAGAATACATTTTCAATCATCTTCACCTATAATCGATGCTACCACCCCCAGCTGCCCACAATGCAAGAAAATCATCAACAAATCTCACTCCTTTCCACTTGCATTACATCAAACACAACCAAAGAACCTAAGCCACTAAATTGAAATCATAACCCAAACACAATCCATCATTAAATTGTTTTAAATAGAAATATAAAATGCAAAGAAGAGATACACATACCTGGACGAAATGTTAGGAGGAGGAAGAGGCAGATCTTTGGCGAAGAAGATGTTAATGGCGGAGGAAAAAGAAGGTGTTAATGACAGAGGAAGAAGAAAATATTAATGGTGGAGGAAGAAGAAGATGTAGACGAAGAAGAAAATGCAGAAGAAGATGCAGAAGAAGAAGAAAATGTAGACGAAGCTTAGAAGAAACAACAACCAAGGGAGGGATGCATTAATGGCAAGAGGAAGAAAAATAAGGTGTTTGGGTTTGTTTGCAAAAATTTTGGCTTTTTGGCAATATTATAATTTTTAAAAGATTACACAATACTTAACCTTAATCAATAATAAGACTGTTTACTTTAACAATTTCAAACTACGTAACCTTCTAATTAGATTTGAACTTAATTTGGCATTTTAATAAAATGCGCCGAATTTTGGTTTGAACTGGTAGATGGTGATTTTAAGGGAAGCGCAGTGTAGCATAGGCCGCAGAATAGATGGTGGAGAGGTTAATTAAAAATTAGTATTTCCTTAATTTTCATTAGTGACTTGATTAATGGAAATTACCAAATGGATTTTTGATTAATACTTGGTTAATTTTCATTAGTGACTTGACTAATGGATTTTAACTACCCATATATTACAGGATGGAAATTGGCCTGGTGCATCTGTTGCAACGAGATTTTTGAGATTTTATTATATTGCCGCAGAACTTGGCTAGAGTGTGTTTTGCACACTTTAACATGCCAGAAAGATGCAAACAGCACGAATCAATCATTAGTGTTAAATGTATGGAAAACATTGCATCGACAACCAGACCTGTTCAATTATGCTCTATCATTTATCGAATTCGACAATTGATACAAAACCCAGATAGATTTGAACTGAAAGTTTAACATATTCTTGCTGGTGAAGGTAGGCCGCCCGCTACTTCCAAACTATTCCCCACCCAAATGTTTTCAGATAGACAAGAAGGTTATCTAATGAAAATAACCAAGAACCTGACCACCTACATTTCGTCTTTGAGCCTCTTCATGATCCAAAACACCATCCGGAGTTGTTATCACAACATAACCCCACTGCATTGCAAGAAATCAGAAAAAGAAAAAGCGCACAAGATAAGTCCAGGATATAATCTTTTTTTTTTTTTTTTGGAAACATGTTAGGTTTCACAGACACACCCGGTAACACAGCATTTCTTACCAGTAAACCATTCCCCCCTAAACAGGCACTTAAAAGAACTTAAAAGGAGACATCTGAACAAACCTGACGAGTTGGAAGTGTACGTGTTGTGTACTCTTCAATATTTTTCGCCTTGATATCCTGCCTGTAAGTGAGCGCCCGGCAATCTTTAACCCTGCCTAGTAGTTGAACTGTTATCCTCCCCACCCTATGTGGATCATAAACTTGAAAATCCTTGATATATCCTAAAAGGAGAAAAAAGGTCAAGTTAACAAACTATAAGTCACAACAAATTGACCAATAGACTAACTACTTCAAAGCATGTAGGCCACAAACAAAATAGGATAAGAAAATGTAATGCACTACAACAAAACGTACTAGTTAGCTAACACAAGCCCCTTTATTTATCAAAAAAAGATCATTAGAGCAACTTCAGAGAATAATGTTTAAAATCCACTCCAGGACTTGGTGTTGGTGGGCATGCAGCCTAAACAAAAGCCAGGAAGCAGCCAAAAGATATAGAGCAATTTGCAAATTACTGATCTTCCCCAAGCAATTAGATATGGCCTAACAGATATACATAATAGGAACATTCATACGTCATAAATACTATTTCTGGAATCATACTTCATTCCAAAAATACAGGTACAATGTCAACCACTTTAAAGCAGCCAAATCTGGTTCTAGCAAGAAATACACATTAGTATAAAACCTTAATCAAATCTGACCCTTCAAGAAAGAAAAAAATCTATTTTCCACCATAAACTATGAAGAGTTAATAAATTTTAAAGCATGTCAACTCCAGTTATCATAAGGATCTAGTTATTACAGAGAAATCCTCGGATTTCCAAGATAACATTCATCTCCTCTCTAGTTAACAAACAATATTTAAGACTTTCCTCTGTCAAATCCTTTAAATTGAGACATTCCAAAAGATATTAATAAAATCATTATTTCATATACACTTCATAGCATTTAAAAATGATAAGCTGGTAACAGTTTCTCATAATAACAATAATAATAATTAATAAATAGCTCATCAGGAAGGCCCTATTTTATTTGCTCACATTTCTTTTTACTGAATACAGATATAGCCGAAAATAAATCCAAGCATATGATAAGTATATTTAAGAACGCTCAATAGCAAAAATTTAAGACTAGCAGTATTACCATGAGGTTTTGAACCCAACCACACCCATTCACAAAAAACCAACCACTTAACCCTTGAAAACTGCTCAAACATCTATGATAATAACTTCTAATACAGAAAACGCAAAATTTATTTGGAATGAACTGTAAGTGATTTGTAAATATGTAGACATTTCGGAAAGGATGTCATCTAAATTGATTTGATACTCATGTGGTAAGAACCAAAGCAGAGGCTTAGGCTGTACAGCTAGGAATTTATCTCAGCCCAAGCTAAAATAAAACTTCTTTTTCAACAAACCGCTTACTCATAAATGCAAAATAGAATTTTTTTTTTTTTTTTTTTTCTTTAGAGAACTTTCATACCACCTAAATTTGACTAATAAAAATGAAAATAAATTCCCAACTCTCTATATGTATATACTAAAAATTATAAAAATGATATATTGATAGTGTTTTACCAATTCTTCATAATTAGTAATGTCATTCAATTTTCTCAATGAAAATTAGGGAATCAATCTCAAAATTAACTAGAAAAATCAATTTAATCTCATGGATCAAGCAAATTCTAATTTCAAATTTAAAAAAGATGGAGATAATTGATCTTCACAAAATAAAATCAAAACAACTAAATTTCATAAAGAAAATGGAAAAGGATCTACAGTCTACACAGCTCATGTCAATATAACATACATACAAGTTAATGTTAACAGAACATGTTACTTAACATTGCGAGTTGGAAAGCTAATATGTTATCATGTGGAAAATCAAAGTTGGTTTCATTGTTCATAAAGAAAATTAATGAAGTCTATGAAACAGAAAATGATAACCTGGTCTTGACCATTATATTGCTTTTCAAGAATTTTACAAAGATTAGAGAGAATGTGATTAAAAGAGAGGATTACATTTTTCCAAAATTTATTTAGAATTTTTTATTTCGTGATAAAAATAACCAACATCTTTAAATTTTTAATTTTCCCAGAGGGCTAGCCCAGGCTACAACCCAGGTTAGTCCTCTAATGGATAAGCCCCTGAACCTGAACCAGAGCTATAAGCATGATGAGATATCTAATGTTTCTACTGTTGAGCTCCAGATCTTAAAATGGAAAAAGTACACCTATCTCAGCCATGAGTATCAACCCTCCTAATGAAAATTAAGTTGCATCCTTAATAAAATTAAAAAGAGTTCTCGAAAATATGCAGCATAGTAATAAGGTTTAGTTTCAAACAGAGATTCATGTAGCACTCCTCTTCCTCCCACGTATAGATGTTTGATAAAGTTTTATCCATGAACAAGGGGTGTGGTCTCTTTTTCTGACTATAAACACTGAATTAAACATGGTACATATACATCAATTAAAAAAGTGTTTAAGGGATAGAAGATTAGATTTACCTCGATATTTCATGATATTAAGAAAAGAAGACATCACAGTGGAGATTGGTTTCAGCTCTACATTAGATTTGCCTCTCCTCTCTCCATTCACTATTGACCGCAACGCGTCGTTTAATATCCTCCTCCCCATCTCTTTCTCTTTCTCTTTCTCTCTGCACTACAAAACCCCAAAGGCTGGCTTGCTCAACAAAAGGGTTTTTTGTCATAGAAGTGGCATTTTAGATACTTAAGGTAACCACTAGGAGCATTTTCATGCCCAACAGCTTGTCGGGCTTTTGTTATAGCTAGTTGGGCCTTCACTTCTGCGCCTCGTAGGCCATATAACATTATTGATGTTTGTAATATGAAAGTATTTTTTTTCAAAAAGTAACATTTGCGATATGTAATTTAAATTAAAATCCCCTTTAAAATTTAAAAAAGAAAAAAGTTGATTTTTAATAAGTCTTATTACATCTGAAAAATTATTCGTAAAAATATCCTGATTCAAACGTTTTTTTTCGTAATAATATTTGTATGCCTCGTTGATGGACACAAAAAAATATATATTTATCCTGATTGAAATCAAACAGCCGTCAGGTATTGGGGAAGGAACAGCAGTAGGTGCATTTTTCAATTGACATAATTTTGTTCCGAAAAGAAGCACGCTCCATACACGACAAGAAGAGTAGACAGTTGTTAATGCTAGTAAAATGAAGTCAATTTTCCTTTCTGTTTTGCGCTAGATGCCCAAATACATTAAAGGAAGAGAAAACAATGGCGGCGGAGCACTGGTCTTTCTGTTCGGAGTCAAAATATTCCTTATTATCAGCAGTGTTTTAAGTCTTTTTTACTGCTTCAATTACAAGTATAGTTCCCCATAGTATGATCAATAATACTCCACAACTTACATTTAAAAAATAAAAAACATCTCATAAGATCAGAAGACAAATATACAACGATGTGAGAAGTGCTTGCTAGGGATTGGGGAACAGCAGCTGGTGCTTTTATTGTTCTTCTTAAAAATCAACTATTTGGGAGCTAATGCCTCTTCTATCGTTCTTCATATCAGAAACAATGTATCCTAATTCCTGATTTCTTCTCAAGTATATTATCTCTGCTATAAAAAAAAAAAAAAAAAAAAAGAGCCTCCAATTATTTCAGCCTTTCAGGGTTCTCCGAGAATTTCTCCACAAACAAAGAGCTACAATCGTCAAACCAGCAATGCCTGCCAAAATCTGCCACAACCAACAACACTTACGAGTTATATAAATATAGCAAGGTAAGGAAATATCTTGAGTTTCAGTAATACCATATTGTGCATACAGAGCCCATGTAATAAGCAATCAGTGATTTTGCAGCAATAACAGCACTGATATATTAAGTGTATTATCAACAAATTATTACTTCAACTCAGTAAAAATGATGCAGAGCTCACTGAAAGCAAATTCACAGATTGGGGAGTTATAACAGCTGCTGCAATGTAAGAAATGCATGCTTCTTCATTGTGTCGTATACACACTAGTAACAAAACAAGCAGACAACTAACCTTTGGATCTCTAAAATTAATGGTCTGAGTGGATTGAAAAAATGATCCCAATAACTTAAATCGAGACGTCTGAGGCATCAGAATCACTACTGTGTACTGTCTATTGCAAGAATAAGGTAACATCCTTTGCAGTGCTGACTGCAATGTTGATGACGTCAGAGATGTTCTGACTTTTAATCGTGCTTCATCTTGAATCTGCAATGGAAACAAATTCAGAACTTGATAATCACTGAAATTCAGAAAACAAACAATTCAATATTTTTATGTTACTAAATCAATAAAAGTGATGCACAGAAATGAGATGCTTGAGTATGTTTCTGCTTTCAAAGCTTTAAAACATGAGTCCAACAAATGAGATAGTTGAAAAGCTTGAGAAATTGCATGCTAAAGCTATTTATTTTCTTTTCTTTGCTCTTATCCTTAACTTTAGAAGAGAAATGATAAAGGCAACACGGTAATTTTGAAATTAGGATTATCTAATTGCTGCAATTTTTGCTGCCAATGTCATTCATATGCTGAACTCTGTTCCAGTTATATAAAGTCTCAAAAGACGCTTGTGTTGAGAGTAAGGTTACCTCCAAGACAAGCACTTAGAGCACAAATCATAAAAATCATACTTGGACGCTTAACAAGGTAAGAAAGAAGAGACTGTACGAATATTGAACTCAATGACCAGACCTCTGTACTATATTGCATTACTATTGCCAAAAAAAAAAAATCTTGTTCAAAATAATTTTAAACCAAGAGAAGCAATAATTCGGATCAAGCCCTTGTACCAGACGATCAAGCGCTATCACACATCACTGAAAACACATCACAGGATAGACAAAATTTGCATGAGTTCTAAAACAACACATAGAGACAAACTACAGTTTCACAATGGTAGAATGATAGGAACCCACTCCAATAACTCAACAATTTGGGCTGGGCCATGGGTCTTTCATGGGCTTGGGTAGAACTCTCCTTGGAAAACCGGCTTGCCAAGGGAGGGTGCCCAAGCCTTTATAACCCACATGCCCACCCTTTTCCCTTTCAATGTGGGATCCCAACGTAGAATAACACAGTGAGAGCTACCAACCTCAAAAGAAGTCCCAACATTTCCAGAGTATATTCTTGACTGGTAGCTGCATAAAATTCTGTCCAGCCAGTGGTAGTTCTCCTGAAAGATCAGTAGCAATCAACAACAAAGATTAATGGCAGGGAATAACATTCATTTCTCATGTCAATGAAACTAAAATATTAAGCTTGATTTGAAGTATCACTAATACATAGGGTTCAAATGGTAGATGTAAGGTTCCAATGCATTTCTTTCCTTTATGACTTGCATTTGGCAACCAAAGGACCATAATTAGACACAAAAGAAATAGAAAATTTTAACCTGCAATCCATTTTCATGGGCTCTTTGCTCGAGTTCGAGTATGGTTGAAACATCCTGATCTGAAGGCCCTTCCTCTTGAAGATGTAAGATTTCATCCAAGGCAAGATCAACCTGTAGATAGATATTGTACAAACAAAAATTGAGCGGATAGGGTAATCGGCTACTATCATATTAACATTAAAGATGAAAAATGTACAACTATAAACACTTGCCAGCTTTGGAGAGATCTCTGGATCACAAGAAAAATTTATGCTAATATCACCACGTACATCACCAGTTCTTGAATGTTTATTACCACCAAGGAATACTGAAACACCAGCAGAATAGATCTGAAGAATAAAGAACATTAACAAAATTAGGCCAAAGAATAAGAAAATTAATAAAAACAAAATATAAGGGAAAACACATACTTGCCCATGCTTGAAACGAAGAACCTGCATCATCTTCGTTTCAAGAAATTTGCTCAGGAACCCAACATAGTTAATCTCTTCCACCTGCAATTTAATTTTTTCAAACAGAAATTCACATTAAAAATCATCAGTAAGCAACACACATGAAAGACCTCAGGATGTTACAGGACACCATTTATTAATTGATAAATCAAAAGAGAGCCACAAACCATTGTTCCATTCTTCAGCTCAACAGGAAAGCATAGTTGGACAGAACATTGTGCTTCAACCATGGGGCTGCGGACCACTTGCCTGCAAGTATACCCAATGCATTAGAGATTATGGATTGCAACAGAAAAAGGAACATATATCAGTAAATTAACCAAGATGGTATATACTAAAATAACCCCAGTAACTGCTAAAAGTGTCTAACCCTCTTGTAAATATAGACCACACACCTTATTATGGATGTTGGAAAGGTAAAAGGTAAGCCTTTGAGTTTATCACGGTTAAAATGGAGAACAGGTTCAGGAGGCTTTGGTATCCCACCCTGCATGGAAAATCACACCACAGATTAACATAAATTTCAAAAACTCTAGGCATAGATAGGTTAACAACAGTTTCAACTCACCAGATACTGCAATATCAGAGGAATTGCAATTGTAGGATCAATGTTGCCAACAATCACAACAGTGAAAGTTGATGGATCCTTAAAACAGCTGTTGAAATAGTCACAAGCTTTTATTGGATCAACTTTTTGAAGGTCCCTTATTTTAATGGGCTGCATTTTCAGACAAAAACCCACGTAAGGAGGGCATATCCATCATAAAAGCATCAGTGAATTTAAAACGGAAAATGATGCTTACCCTAAAAAAGTAAGAGTTTCCATAGTTGATCTCCTTCACCCGATTTGCAAATGCAGTATATGGATCTCTCTCTTGAGCATGAATTGCTTCTTCTGCCATTTGCATCACTATTTTGACTTCTTCTTCTCCTGGTGTTACATTTGTTGTGAATAGTTGATATACAAGCTGCCAGTACAATCACAATTAAGAACTGACAGATTGAGACACCCTTACAGTTAGATTCTTTAAAATATAGAATGTAGGCAGCGAAAAAGCATTTAGCATATTTCCAATGAGACAAAAGTGCAGTGGTTGCTTCAAGCTAAGTAGTAAAATATAGAAGAAGGAAAAAAAAAAAAAAAAGAACACTATATACTCAGCAATTAATTATAGCAAATTCTGAATATTCTAAAATGATTCCCTGGCAACAAATGTGAATAATCTTGGGGACTTCAAATCATTTAAGAAAAATTGTTCAGCCAAGAAAATTGGGCAGATGTTAATATTATGATCTCATTCCTTATGATGCACCTACAGATTTCTGTAGGGTGCTCAAGTCTTTTAAAAAGCCAACAAGGACCAAGAAAAATTATAAACTTCAAGAAAACATTTTGGCAGGAATTTAAGAAACACATCTACATAAGCATGGTGCAGCAAAGATGTTTGGAACACATGGACCACAGGATCTGAAAGGACAAATCAAATAGAAACACATACATCGTCGAGTGGTAAAATACAGCACTGCAGAAAGAAACTTGGTTATTCCATGTAGAAAGAAAATAGTAATTAATAGTGCATATGTAATGCATAAGTGACCTTATTTTTGGGAGATCAGAAAAGGAAAATGAAATAATTATAAACACTAAAAATTATTTACATACATAAAGCAAATATATTTCTTTTATTGGTTTTTACTATGTTATCAGAAAATATATTTCTTAAAGTAGATATTAGTATGTTACAATCTTATAAAATTTCAACCTCTAAAAGGAGACTATAATAAGGAAAATTTAAATGTAGTAAATCCAGAAAAGCAAACCTGCAATGCTGTTTCCAGGTCTGATGGTGAACAATCACCAGAAAAGGTTCTCATGTATGCTCCAAGCTTTGTACCAACTTCAACTCTCTTTCCAGCAAGCATATCCATCAGCACTGAAGGTTTATGACCAAATACACCTATTTCTCCAGCAATGGTTGATCCAATTGAGCACGAAACGTACTCCCTTTCTGGGAGTTCAGATAAACCCCCATATGAAAAACCTGTAAAAAGAACCTGTTCAAAGAAAGAGTTGATAAGAGTTCTATGACTCATGAACTGACACTAATCAAGGATTATACAAAACTTGCATGCCCATGTACCTGGTCATCAAGGAAGTCTGTACATTTATAGCAAACTCGCATGCCATTGGATAAAATCAATTCAGTAGCCCCAATATTTTGATATTCAAACCGTTGTACAATATTCCTGAAGCAAATCATTTGACCTAGCTTAGAATCATGTACGTCAAATAACACAAGATGTTTATGCACACTGATTATCTGGACCAATTAAGAATGCAGAAAGAAGACATAAGGTCATAAAGTTACCAAAAATTATTTGAAGTCGAAAGAAAACCAATTGAACCAAACACAGAAGAATAGTTCATTCAAGATAGAAGATGGAAGACATATCATACTATTCCCTAGCTGAGATAATTATCCATAAAGTAAAATGGAAATCTAATTACATTAAGTAATAATTTGACAAACTCCAATAATACCTTTCTCTAACACTATTTAACTGTTTTTTTTTTTTTTAGGGGCAATATTACACTTACAATCCAATCTCACAAACTTTCTCTCACAACTCCAACATGGCAGTTCGCAATTGGTTAGCTCGCAAATAGGTTTCATCTGCTTGCTATGGGTCATATCTGCCCACTTGTAAGCTAACCAATTGTGAGCTGTCATGTCTGGGTTGTGAGAGAAAGTTTGTAAGATTGGATAGTGAGTCAATTTTTATTGTTTTTTTAATAATGAAATCGCTATCGTATTGGCTATTACTAGGGTAAGTTTTCATCCTTTGCAACATATTTTTGAAGCCAATGAGCATCTCTTGCACCTTACAGAAAGAGAATAGACAAAAGGGTAGGCATACAATTATCACAAAATGAATTAAGAGAAGGAAAGATATAAGTATGCTGAAGACTAGAAATAAGGACATCATAAGAGAAAAGATCTAATAGGAAGAAGACAAAAGTTGGATTCTAAATATGGAATATAGATCACTAAAAATAAGTGCGTGCCAAAAGCAATTATTGATTTTCATGTCTAATATGGAGCATTCATAGTGCTATGTTGACACTTGCAAAAATATAACCAAGGAACTAACCAATTTTTCAACTAAAACTAAAGCCACCTACACTAAACTATATAGCAAAAATGTTCTAAGTGGTTTCTATTACAATTCAATCACTATAAATAATTTATGTAGTAATCACACTCAAGTGACAGTCAAACCCATTAAGGTTAAGAGAAGAAAAATCTACATTACAAATAAAACATAATGATCCAATAGATTTTAGAAAAATGTTATCTTTACAAAGACAATACAAAGAGGTCTACAAAGTTATGTCAGCAAGAAGGGAAAAAGAAAGAAAGAACGGAAAAAGAGAGAGACAGAGAGAGAAATCATGAAGATCAAATGTAGCAATTGTCTTTGTATGCCCCTTTTGTATTTGTCTTTATAAGACTAGCACTGCTCTAGATTTTATGACATATAATGCCTAGATTTCATTATACTGAATCATGCAACACTGAAGATTTGTGAAAAACAAATAGAATCTAAATAGGCAGCTAAGCAATAGAAACTGCGATGAATATCACAATCCTAGGATTTCCACAATGCAATGACTTAAATATGGACAGGTATTACTGCAGAAAAGGACCCAACTTTACCCTGGACTGGGTTTTGTACCAACAATTTCTTCAGGTATTTGTTCATCGTCCCAAGGAGAAATGCGCTTTTCATCCTCCAAATTATTAATCTTTGACATAATACTTTTCAAATCATCAACTTTTGCAAAAGTTCGAGGTTCAATTGTCTTTATGACACAACTGCATGATGTTCGTAACTTCTCTGAGTATTTTGATACTTCTAACGCCGATATCTCTATGGACATGAAACCCATTGTTAGCACCATGATATGTTAGGTCATCCTTGATTCATTAAAGTATACTAAACAAAGTATGTTTAAAAAGACATATTTACTCACGAGGTAGAATAGTTTTCTGGAGTCGAGCCTCGTGCTCAATCCCAATAACAGGTTCATTGCAGAGAAAATGCTGTAAAATGGAATATAAAGAACTATTTAGCAGGCCCGAAGAGAAGTTTCTTATAAGTAATTGGAGAGTTAAGGAAAGCAGCTAATATACTTGCAAAAGTTCATCTCTCAAGCTTGTTGATTGCATTTGATCGCGCTCCAGATAGGCGGATTCGATTTCAGACATCAGTAATGCCCGAACTACAGCTACTTCACGTTCTGAAAACCCATGTAGTCGCACCCTTGCAACCTAACACAAAATGCATTAGCAGCCATGTGTTTGTGTGCATGAGAGAGCGAGACAGACAGAGACAGAGACAAAGGCAACCAAGATATAAGATTAAGATAAAAGCACACCTCAATAAGCACTGACTCTAGGGCCTCCAAAGTCCCTCTTTCTTTACAGGCTGCAGATATTATACAAGCCTTTAATGGACGAACTAGATCATCAGCAGTAGCTGAACATGAGAAATAGGGGGGATCCTTTCTGCGAGATATTTTGAAGAACCTCTGGTTTAGAGCATGTAGGAACATGGATTCTGTAAGCATTTCCTTATATTCTTTTACAGTCTTCAACTCATTCACTGCCATCTTATAGCTAATCATCACAGCAGACTGGTAAAAGAAAGATTTAAAATGATAATGTTAGAATTGGAAATTTCCATGCAAATTTTATAAAACATGCATATGTTGTTAATTGGGAAATGTTATCATAGAAAATTATAAGACTCGAAGTATACTAACCCCGGCAGCTTCAGACTCAATAAAACTTGAAAAATGAGGCTCCTGATGAGATGGAACTGGAAATATTGGTAAAACTGGAGGATCAGTTGCTGAATTTTTCTGCCCAAAGTGAGTCTTTATCAAGTCCACTACACTCTGCATAAAAAGAGAGAAAATAAAGAATCAGAAATCTTGATTACAATTCATACTTGTAACTCAAATAGGAATTAACATAGGACAAATACAAACCTCTGTATCAGGAAAGTCTCCAATTGCAATCACTGCCATGTTATGTAAATGGTACCACTTCTGGTAAAAAGATTTCACAGTCTCAGAAGAAACTGTCCTAATTACTTTCTCTAATCCAATGGGTAATCGCTCAGCATACTGCAAAAAAAATAAACATAAAATTTATTGAAATCCTCAATGTAGGAATGACAATTCAAAAGACAAATCAAACTTATTTCTTACACTATTTGCAAAAACGCTTGGACACACTCTAAAAATGAGCCAAACTAGACAATTCTCCCACTTATAACCAAAGTAAAATTCTTATAGTAGAAGTCTGATGCTCAAAAGGCAAAACAAAAATACTCCAATCACGGTTACTCAAAAGAAAAAAAAAACTCCAATCACACCCTTCCCCCTCATTTCCTGGCATACACATATTATACCCTCCCACACACCATATTATAGATGGTACTGAAGTAATTTAATTGTTGGCAAATGTCAAAAGGCACAACTTAGAATGTGGTATGCACTATATAAACCTATACAAGAGATGATTGGGCACAAAATTTAAATAAAAAAAAAGGCCTGATCAAGTTAAGAAGGAAAGATACCTTAATTGTGATATATAACACTATAGCATAAAAGTGATATCTACAAGAAGAGACTAACAAATATGTAATAAAGTAACTAATAAATGAATATATGCAACCACTAAAAAGGTTTAAGCCAATAGCAGCACCTTTGATCCTTCAGTCATTAAGACCCAATGTGCATCTTGCATCCTTCCAGTAGCGTTTCGGTTGCCCCTGTACTCTTCCATTACAGCGCCTCTTTCTTTTTCCAAGTCATCTTTTGAGACTCGGACCTGTTTTTGCAAAAATAATTATCCTAAAAGCACACAATATCAGCATAACCAAATAAGGAGTTATTTGGTACCTCCGTACTGAATTCTGCCAAGATTGAAATGGCCTGAGATAATAGTCCAGGCTTGTCAACAGGAACAAACAACTCATATACAGTGTCATCAGCAGATGTTACCGCATTCTGGCAGGCACCAAATTCTGCTCCAACACTTTCTAGAAATTTGACAATATCATGATTTGTGTATTTCTTAGTGGCACTAAAAGCAAGATGCTCAACTATGTGAGCAACTCCTCGCTCATCCTCCTCTTCTAGAACTGAGCTGCCAAGAACCCAATAAGTTTAGCTTCATTCCAATATACATCTCTACGAATGCTATGTGGTTGCATGTAATAACCTCAAATAAGTCCAAAAGAAAAGTTACAGAACTTAGTGGAGAATAGGAACTCAATCACCACACCACATCGCCTAATTAAATTTAATAATGAACTCCAACCTAAAAGCAAGTTTGCGAGTTAGCCCTAATAAAGCATTCTGCAAAAGCAATGTCTACTAGTAATTGGCAAAGGAATTAACAGATGTTTTCAACCATCAAACAGGCCTTATTGAAAACAAGATTCACTATACCTCAATATCACTCTCTCCATTTCATAAGAAGTTAGATTTATAGGTTATCACAGAGTCATCAAAGGTAACGGCGCCTTGACAATTGACAACTTATCCCTTAAATTGTTTTGTTACAGCTGAATTGAATTAGACAAAATATGATGGTGAAATCAGAAATGTAAGTTGCATACCCGACTTTGACAGCAAGAGCAAGAGCAGCTCTCATTCTGGGCTTACAGTTACGACGAACGTAGTAAGAGAGGCCATTGTGAAGCCTGCCATAGTCCACCCCGTACGGTTGTTCGACGAGAACTTCGTCCAAGTCCACGCTCACCAATTTAAGTGACCTGAACCTCTGCTTCTTCGTGATCTGCGACACCTCACCCGCTATCAATTCCATCCTCCTCAATCTTTACTCTTTTTTTCTCCCTCAATAATCCAAAACACAAATGACGTTAGCTTTTGTTTTTCTATAAGTATCCAACCAATTAAATTCAATCACGATGGTGAATGGGTAGTTTCGTTTTAATTTTGCTTGATAAAGGTCCTCCGACGTAATCAAAGATACCGTTTGTCAATAAAGACAGACATTGTAACAGTGATGATAATAACAAAATAGTAATAATAAAACCAAAAAAAATAAAACATACAGATGATCGTTTTTTAATCTATCGCATCCAATTTTTTTCAAAGTAATCTGCAGATATTTATGACTGGAGTTTTTGCAAATTAATGGTGAATTTGAAGGCCTATTACAATAATTATGTTAGAATAATTTTTAATTTAATCACAGTAAATAAATGTCAGAATCTTATCAGGACCGTAAAGATAGTCGAATCGCTTTGTATAATTACGAATATAACCTTTACTCATTATGAGATAAAATATCTGGGTGTAGATGATTTCATTTCATTTTCAATAGTTGAGATTATAATTTATAACTATCAAAGTGAATTTGTGGAATGACTCGTAATTTGCATAACTCATTTTCATAGCGCTAATCAGATATGGCAAACCCTCCCTAAAACCCTCTCAAGGCGCACGATTACGAGCAAACTCAGTCGCTGACAATCCAAGCTTTTAACTGTCACTCTCTGCTTCTTCCTAAAATACGCCCATTCTTTCAATACTACAATGCTTGTCCTGCACAACTACGTACCTGCTCTTCCATTCACCCAAATAACCCGCCATTCCACCAACCGTTTGCCGCTATTTTCGACCGTTAAGCTCTCCATACAGAGCAACACGCCACCCAGGACTTCGGTTTTTTTTACGAAAGGCAAAAAATTGCAGAGCGAGATAGATAAAGATGAGGAAGAAGAAGAGGCTGAAACGGTGTCGCCTAGAGGATTTAGAGGGAAAGAACAAGAGAAGGATTACGATAAAGACCCTGAATTTGCGGAGATTTTGGGAAGTTGTCTGGACGACCCGCAAAAAGCGCAATCCAAAGTGAGTTAATAATTCAATGGATTTTGTTGCTTTTCAAGTTATCTGTTGCTTATAGTATGGAAATAACTTTGTGTTCTGTTTAGATGGAGGATAGAGTAAAGAAGAAGAGAAACAAAATATTGCATACAAAGACTGGCTCAGGGACTCCTGTGAAAGTGACTTTCAACAAGTAAGTTTGTGGTTCAGGACATTTGCGCTTTTGTTTGCCGTTAGCTGTAGATAGAAATTTGGAAACGCTTCTTTCAATCTTTTTAATTAATTTTGGCGCTCGAACGATAATCTGTGCTCACTTATATTATCTTTGAGTTCTTTGTGGATTGCATAAACGCCAAGCTTATAGGCAATTAAACAAAGATGTATAAAATGTGGAAGTGCTCAAACTTAAAAAATCAGTTGTTCGACATCTTTGTCTGATCTCGATTGTCTTGGCAAGGCAAGGGAAGTCATTTGAAAATGTTGTGACTTATACTTTCGTAGGAGTGCATAATATGCAATAATTCCATTTCAAATTGAGCTTGTCTAATATCACTCAAGCTTTCACATACCTGATGGACTCATACTAATATTAACTTTCATATGTAGTCTGAAATCTATAAATTGGTTTTTGTGGTGGCATTGGAAGTGGGAGGAGTTGTGAAGAAAAAAAATAGCTTGTTTCATGTTGTAAATGCACATGTTGACACTTATGTAGAGCTGTTTTCCATGATAGAAAGACACATATGGAATTGCAAGGAATCATGTACTTCGGTAGTCTTCAAAAAGTTTTGATCTGTCAAGTCACAGGCACTCCAGAAAATTTGTATGCTTTCTATTAAGTTTTATTAAACCACTGATTAGTTACACCCAAATCTGAGTATGTTTATCTAAATATAAAATTCAAAGTAAACACATGGCATATGCAACTGAAATTTACAGAGCTGATCTTTCTTGCTTTTGGGAAGTATATACCTCTTGATGTTAATGTAGACTTAAATAGGAGTTATCAGTTGCATCTAGCTGATAAATTTACTTGATACATTTCTACATCTTGCATCTGTGTTTGACTGAAATCAAGTTGCTTGTTAGCTGATTCTCAATTTCCTTGAATGGCCAAACACTCATGAAGTTCTTTCTCTCATCTTCTCTATCTTATCAAATGTTAGGTTATTTTTTATTCCAAAGCCTAGAGTAATGGCAAGTTTTTAGCATGATATGATTTAATTGCTTTCATTTCCTGTTTCTGACATATGTTAAGTTTCTGTTGGATTTTTTTCTTTTCACTTGGAAGCAGTTCATTAATTCTCTTGTTATGTTAACTTGCTGTTATGTATTGCCAGATTTGATTTCTCAAACTCATACATATGGTTTGAATTCCACAATCTTCCGTTGGAGAAAGATATTTCCTTAATTTGTGATGTAAGTAACTTCTCTGAAACACAACAAAAAATGATATTCACAGTTGAAATCCAGCAATTCATTATTGAAAACATATTTGGATGATATCACTGGTTTGGACTTTGCAGGCAATTCGAGCATGGCATATCATTGGGCGTCTTGGTGGATGTAATTCCATGAATATGCAAGTAATTTTCCTGTTACTCATTTGAACTGCAAATAGGGACTTTTCATGCCATAATCCTGTAGCAAAAAAACTGTTGAGCTACATATCTGGTTTAGTTTCTGGATATATACATATGTAAATCCTAATACTTATGTATCATTGCAGTTATCACAGTCTCCTATGGATAAAAGACCCAGTTACGACGCTATTGGAGGAGCCAATGCAACACCAACCACATTTTACAACATTGGGGATCTTGTGATTCAAGAAAACTTAGCACGTATATGGTATGGAACTTGATTCAGAGGTCCAGTAAATGTGTTCAAGTGTCTTTCTCTTTTCCATTTCCGTATGATGCTTAGATTTTATGTGCCCATGCTGTATATTAATTAGGAACAGATAATTCAAATATTCGTGCTAATGATGTGATCAAAACATTAAACAGGGTGGATATTGGGACCACTGAACCACTGCTTCTGGATGTTTTGATCAATGCCTTGACACAGATAAGCTCTGAGTAAGCTCCCACATCTCTGTTTCTCTTGATAGTTTATTATAACTTCTTGAAATCTGTAGCCAAAAGTTATGATCTGAATTAAACATCTCCATCCATGAATTTTTGAAGCCACTCCAAATGGAAAGTGGCTCAATGTGGGCTTCCCTGGAGGATACTATCTGAAGGCTGCCACAGTGCATTGTGCCATCTGGTTCCGTTATACAACATCTAGTTGTATGTTTATGTAAACACTACATTGATAGCTGGTATTTGCCTATGCAGTTCATGTGCTTTTAGCTCATTAAGTGATTTTGACGTTGCTTTTGGACACTATGTGTTTCTGGTGGTCTTTTTCAGTAGTTTTTGTTGACCCTAATTTGTGTACATGCAGTTTTGCTTTCTAAATTTATCTGCTGACTGTTGGACATTTGATTTTTCATCTGACAGCCATGTTGGAATAAAGCAATTGGTGTTTGGTGGATCTGAATTTGAGAATTGGAAGGAGAACTTGACATCAGAAGATGCAGGTTGCAGCGTTCACAAGATTTAAGCACTTGGAAAGACGAGATCGAAATGCTGAGACTGATAAAGAAATCTTGCAGATGTTTGAATTGCCCGATGATGGTTTAGGATGCTGAAACTGATAACCAATTCAAGGATGTAAGCACTATCTAATTAGTTTGTGAAACTTGTGATCTGTAAATTAATATTTTTGATTCTTTGGTAGGATATTTTTTTTTTTTTTTATTTCAGCAGGGTAGCTCTTACCCAATTTTCCAGGTATGAAATTGAAGTAGTTTTAGTAGCGTAGGCTCCCAGTCCCAAATGTCTTCCAGTATGAAGCTCATTGCTATATGATTATGACCATAGAAAAAACGAAACTTGGAGCATTTGTTGGAATTTACAAACATCGTCACATTGACACATGGTCATGAAATTAAGGAATGTATAACTTAACTGTATGAAAATGAAAACAATAATTGCTAACACTATTGTATGACCTTATGATTTAAATGGTAACTGTAGTCTTGTGGATGAAGAAGAGAATTAGTAAAATCTACTACATTTTTTTAGAGTAATATTAGTCTTACAAAGAGGCATACAAAGAGTCATACAAATAGTCAAATCCAGTTCTCCCTTTTTTTAAGGGTTGGATTTGACTCTTTGTAAGGCTAATATTATTCTTTTTTTAAGGATGAACAAAGCAGTGGTATAATTGCAGTAAAGATAATGCAGCCAACAGGACTTTGTAAGGCTGTTCGGCATGTGAATTTGCATTTGAATGCACCCAAGCTGCTACATTTGAATGCAGTACATGTACTATGAAAGATTACTTAAAACATGACAAGGATCAAGTCTAGAATTCAGTCTGATATACCAGATTTCGGCAAGTAGATGTAACTGTATTCCATAAAATTTATACCAATGGACCGACCGTCAAATCGTACTTTTTAATCTGTAACTTGGAATTTAGATATAAAATTCATACTATTATTATCAACTAAGATTAATCAGCCTATCTAAGAAAGATCACCAGGATCAAGAGAACTGATAACAAGTCTCAGAATGGCCAGAAGAAGGGATCACTTTTACGAGAGCTAGTGATATTAACGATAAAAAATACACTAACCACCTGAAACTGCTTGTTATCTGCTTTGCAAGTATCCGGCCTTCTAACGATGAGCAAGTTTGAAGTCACTTCCAAATTTGAAAATTGGGAATTTAATATGAAAGTCGCCAATCTCAATCCAATCCTCTTTATGTAACATGAGCGAAATAACAATTGCCACCAGAATTGAAGAGGAAAAAAAGCAGGAAATTAAAAATAACTAATAATTAAACCATTGCATTGTAGAAGTTTGGATGATCGCAAAGTCAGTAACTATTCTTAACACAGCAGTAGTGCAAGTACAGGTCGATGTTGGTCGTCGTTTACTTACAAACAAGTCTTGGTTCATGTTAACCTACAAAAGGACCACAAAGACTATTCTTTAGCAGTGACACTTCATGCACAGGGCGGAGAAACCTTCTGTGCAATTAACTTGATCTCTCTGATCCTTTCATCAACCAACTCTTGCAGCTGCTGTTCTTGATTTGTCTGAGTTGTATCCATCTGGACGCTACTAGGTTCACCATCCTTTGACCTGAACATGACAAACGACATATCCTGATCAAAAGTGGTAGGGACATCAATCACTCGTTTCCCAGCAGTCCCAGAATCTTTTCCTAAGATATCAGCCCTCACACGATTTGAAATGATGGTAAAGTAATCCTCAATACACTTGTCAACAGGATGAAGGCTAAGATATATCAAAATCTCCCAACACTGGAGAAACTGTTTCTTGTTGATTTTCAGTGTTTTCCGGACATCATCTACTGCACTGAGGGGTGGCACAAATCGAGGGGCACGGATTTTCTTGGAAACTTTTCCTTCCTTCAGACTCAAAACAGCTGAATCAATTGCAGGTTGGATTGGTTCAAAGGCAAGCAGGTGTTTTATGTCAACACAAGTGCGCACATGCTGAAAGGAATCTAATGGCTCTTCAACTGTAAAATCGTAAACATTTTCAGCTATTGCAATGTTGCTGAGCACCTCTACAAGGTAACTGCCATAACCCTTGCGTTGGTAAGGAGGCACTATCAAAATCTGCAATCAAGGACGCAATTCATTATCTTGCTTAAGAAACATTTATTAGCATGCAAAATATCTGAGTGCTTCAGAAAAAGAGACCAATTGGGCTCCTTCATTATGCTTCCAAATTGACTGAAACAGAGCAATAAGAGAAATGAACCTGACTGAGACGAATGCGTGTACTATCAGGATAGTGATAAAAGCGATATAATGCTGTAAATCCAAGTAGCCTATGTTGAATGTCTCCTTGCTGATCCTCTGTTTTCTGGATCAAGAGATATAACTCCCATCTTGGATCAGTAACATCAATAGGATTGCTTCCTAATTCAGATAATAAGGATTATCAGAAATCAGAGTTAAATTCAGACTACAAAAAATAGTAAGAATAAGAATATAGAAGAATGCAATAAACATTGCTTTCCTAAGCCTGTATGGTTGAGAAATTTACCATCAACAAGAAGAAGAACAAGAGGTATCAAGCGACTGTAAAGGTGTCCTGTTGCCATATTGCCCACCACCATGCGAACAACCTGACCCAGATTAAGGCACATCAATTGATGGAATTCATTTACAAACACACAATCCTTGCAAATGAATATGCTTAGGGCAGAAGAAAGAGAAACTAATTGTATCATGAACAATAATCATGTCCAAAAACAAAGCACATCTAACCAAAGGATCCAAGAGCCAATAAGCTGAAGGCTTCCATTAAAATCATTTTTCAAAAATCCCCAAGATCCCTTCTCCAACATGTATATCACAGTGAGTTGATCATCAACAACAGCATCCCAACCCTAGTACCCCACCTCCAAAAAGCCACACAAAATAGGGAAAGTAAAAAAAATAAAAAGTTTTCCAGAACCTCACTTTGCGGTGATGCTGCCAGATGGGACTGAAACTGGTCACAAACTGACAACTTTGATCTATATAAGGGCAGCTGTGCTCCCCATGAGGTCAGTTCCAATGCTTCTTTTGAAACTTGACATAATGGACTAAGACCACCGAATTTCCACATGGGGGAACATTGTCATTCACAGTGGAAAAAGTTTAATTATTAATCACCAATGTCTTCGAAAGTGTAGAGAAATTATGAACCAATTGCAAAGTAAACACAACTGGCAGTAGACGAAAATCATCCTAGAAGATTTTTTTCTCAGAATTATAAAACTTGAAAAAATATTTATATCAATTACCTCCAAATCAGAAACAGCCTCTTCTAAATGACTAACGTGTCCATTGGAAGCCTTGTGTTGCATCACTTCCCCAGTTGAGACGGCAGATCTGATAATAGCAATATGAGGAAATCTCAACTCACAAACAAACCACAAAGCCAACAACAAATGAACAAAAAGATAATTGATATTTGGGACCTAGATAAGCAAAGATCTCCAAGGCACAGTACCTAATAAACTGAGTCTCTGTTGAAAATGTTTGAAGGAACTTATCTTTACTCTCAACAAGTGTCTCAGCAAAAATGCTCTGCGGAAAATCACTATTTTATAAAGACCCAAGGATATAAGCAATCAAATGAAAGGTTTAATTAGGAAATGAGCACATACCTGAAGAGCAGATTTCAAATCCGTAATCCCTTTGCCCCTCTAGCAATATAAAAAATAAATTTAAAGATTAAAAGAAACAGTAAAACACTATCAAAAATACACAAACAAGCAAACCGAACTGAATCAGACTTTAAAAAGTAAAACCAATCTAGTTGGCCATGGATAAATTTCAGTACTTACATTAGATGTGCCCTTAAACGTAATATCAGCATATGAATGAAATGATATAATGTTAACCCAAACGGTTATCTACACAAAAAGTATCAAAAAAGAAATCATGTTAGGAAATAAAATTCATGACAGAGAATTCATCAACTCATTAAAAATTGATACAAAATGATAATTAACAATAAAATTATTAAAATCGTTATAATGCAATGCAGCATGTATAATACCAGTTACTTCAGGCTGAGAAAAGTATTAGTTACCTTCAACTCTTGGTAACCATATATTTTCCCATCTTCATCAAAAAAGCTATTCAGGTCAACTGGATCAATGCAGAAACTGTCTGAAACACCCACTTCTTCTTTGCTAGACACTAGGATTTGAGCAATCAAAATAAAAATATGTGCCAAGTCAAAACTTTGACAAATGAAAAGGACCATCATCAGAATATGTACGAAAATGCAATGAAAAAAGCAAATTAACTCTTCATCTTGTGCAGCTCATTAAAAAATGGTTGAATTAGCAAGCTAAAGATGGCTAGTTGAGAATCAAGTATTACTTAAAGTGGTGTATTTCTTTAAACCAGCACGAATTAGTGCAGGGGGTCCAACTGAATTCTTCCGTAGACAGACCCATGAGTTGAACCAAAATTAACTGAATTTAAGATTGGGTACATGACATATTCAAATAGATCTTATTGGTGGCAAGTTATGACACTTGTTTACCCTATACAACTAATCCAAATAGCTTTACGAAGATTAAGCTGGCACCAAACTTGGAGAAGTTAAAGCAATGTATAAATACCCAGTAACCATAACTTCTCATTGGCACTAATTATTCCGATTAAACAACTTGGAATCGATTAAAACTCAACCACTCCTATCTTAAATACCTATACATATTACCTTAGAGGAGAAACAAAGTCGGAAATAAAAAGTTAGAACTCAATTTATCTCAACAATAATGCGAATCATCCTTGCAGTAAAGATAATGCAGCCAACAGGACTTTGTAAGGCTGTTCGGCATGTGAATTTGCATTTGAATGCACCCAAGCTACTACATTTGAATGCAGTATATGTACTATGAAAGATTTCTTAAAACATGACAAGGATCAAGTCTAGAATTCAGTCTGATATACTAGATTTTGGCAAGTAGATGTAACTGTATTCCATAAAATTTATACCAATGGACTGACCGTCAAATCGTACTTTTTAATCTGTAACTTGGAATTTAGATATAAAATTCATACTATTATTATCAACTAAGATTAATCAGCCTATCTAAGAAAGATCACCAGGATCAAGAGAACTGATAACAAGTCTCAGAATGGCCAGAAGAAGGGATCACTTTTACGAGAGCTAGTGATATTAACGATAAAAAATACACTAACCACCTGAAACTGCTTGTTATCTGCTTTGCAAGTATCCGGCCTTCTAACGATGAGCAAGTTTGAAGTCACTTCCAAATTTGAAAATTGGGAATTTAATATGAAAGTCGCCAATCTCAATCCAATCCTCTTTATGTAACATGAGCGAAATAACAATTGCCACCAGAATTGAAGAGGAAAAAAAGCAGGAAATTAAAAATAACTAATAATTAAACCATTGCATTGTAGAAGTTTGGATGATCGCAAAGTCAGTAACTATTCTTAACACAGCAGTAGTGCAAGTACAGGTCGATGTTGGTCGTCGTTTACTTACAAACAAGTCTTGGTTCATGTTAACCTACAAAAGGACCACAAAGACTATTCTTTAGCAGTGACACTTCATGCACAGGGCGGAGAAACCTTCTGTGCAATTAACTTGATCTCTCTGATCCTTTCATCAACCAACTCTTGCAGCTGCTGTTCTTGATTTGTCTGAGTTGTATCCATCTGGACGCTACTAGGTTCACCATCCTTTGACCTGAACATGACAAACGACATATCCTGATCAAAAGTGGTAGGGACATCAATCACTCGTTTCCCAGCAGTCCCAGAATCTTTTCCTAAGATATCAGCCCTCACACGATTTGAAATGATGGTAAAGTAATCCTCAATACACTTGTCAACAGGATGAAGGCTAAGATATATCAAAATCTCCCAACACTGGAGAAACTGTTTCTTGTTGATTTTCAGTGTTTTCCGGACATCATCTACTGCACTGAGGGGTGGCACAAATCGAGGGGCACGGATTTTCTTGGAAACTTTTCCTTCCTTCAGACTCAAAACAGCTGAATCAATTGCAGGTTGGATTGGTTCAAAGGCAAGCAGGTGTTTTATGTCAACACAAGTGCGCACATGCTGAAAGGAATCTAATGGCTCTTCAACTGTAAAATCGTAAACATTTTCAGCTATTGCAATGTTGCTGAGCACCTCTACAAGGTAACTGCCATAACCCTTGCGTTGGTAAGGAGGCACTATCAAAATCTGCAATCAAGGACGCAATTCATTATCTTGCTTAAGAAACATTTATTAGCATGCAAAATATCTGAGTGCTTCAGAAAAAGAGACCAATTGGGCTCCTTCATTATGCTTCCAAATTGACTGAAACAGAGCAATAAGAGAAATGAACCTGACTGAGACGAATGCGTGTACTATCAGGATAGTGATAAAAGCGATATAATGCTGTAAATCCAAGTAGCCTATGTTGAATGTCTCCTTGCTGATCCTCTGTTTTCTGGATCAAGAGATATAACTCCCATCTTGGATCAGTAACATCAATAGGATTGCTTCCTAATTCAGATAATAAGGATTATCAGAAATCAGAGTTAAATTCAGACTACAAAAAATAGTAAGAATAAGAATATAGAAGAATGCAATAAACATTGCTTTCCTAAGCCTGTATGGTTGAGAAATTTACCATCAACAAGAAGAAGAACAAGAGGTATCAAGCGACTGTAAAGGTGTCCTGTTGCCATATTGCCCACCACCATGCGAACAACCTGACCCAGATTAAGGCACATCAATTGATGGAATTCATTTACAAACACACAATCCTTGCAAATGAATATGCTTAGGGCAGAAGAAAGAGAAACTAATTGTATCATGAACAATAATCATGTCCAAAAACAAAGCACATCTAACCAAAGGATCCAAGAGCCAATAAGCTGAAGGCTTCCATTAAAATCATTTTTCAAAAATCCCCAAGATCCCTTCTCCAACATGTATATCACAGTGAGTTGATCATCAACAACAGCATCCCAACCCTAGTACCCCACCTCCAAAAAGCCACACAAAATAGGGAAAGTAAAAAAAATAAAAAGTTTTCCAGAACCTCACTTTGCGGTGATGCTGCCAGATGGGACTGAAACTGGTCACAAACTGACAACTTTGATCTATATAAGGGCAGCTGTGCTCCCCATGAGGTCAGTTCCAATGCTTCTTTTGAAACTTGACATAATGGACTAAGACCACCGAATTTCCACATGGGGGAACATTGTCATTCACAGTGGAAAAAGTTTAATTATTAATCACCAATGTCTTCGAAAGTGTAGAGAAATTATGAACCAATTGCAAAGTAAACACAACTGGCAGTAGACGAAAATCATCCTAGAAGATTTTTTTCTCAGAATTATAAAACTTGAAAAAATATTTATATCAATTACCTCCAAATCAGAAACAGCCTCTTCTAAATGACTAACGTGTCCATTGGAAGCCTTGTGTTGCATCACTTCCCCAGTTGAGACGGCAGATCTGATAATAGCAATATGAGGAAATCTCAACTCACAAACAAACCACAAAGCCAACAACAAATGAACAAAAAGATAATTGATATTTGGGACCTAGATAAGCAAAGATCTCCAAGGCACAGTACCTAATAAACTGAGTCTCTGTTGAAAATGTTTGAAGGAACTTATCTTTACTCTCAACAAGTGTCTCAGCAAAAATGCTCTGCGGAAAATCACTATTTTATAAAGACCCAAGGATATAAGCAATCAAATGAAAGGTTTAATTAGGAAATGAGCACATACCTGAAGGGCAGATTTCAAATCCGTAATCCCTTTGCCCCTCTAGCAATATAAAAAATAAATTTAAAGATTAAAAGAAACAGTAAAACACTATCAAAAATACACAAACAAGCAAACCGAACTGAATCAGATTTTAAAAAGTAAAACCAATCTAGTTGGCCATGGATAAATTTCAGTACTTACATTAGATGTGCCCTTAAACGTAATATCAGCATATGAATGAAATGATATAATGTTAACCCAAACGGTTATCTACACAAAAAGTATCAAAAAAGAAATCATGTTAGGAAATAAAATTCATGACAGAGAATTCATCAACTCATTAAAAATTGATACAAAATGATAATTAACAATAAAATTATTAAAATCGTTATAATGCAATGCAGCATGTATAATACCAGTTACTTCAGGCTGAGAAAAGTATTAGTTACCTTCAACTCTTGGTAACCATATATTTTCCCATCTTCATCAAAAAAGCTATTCAGGTCAACTGGATCAATGCAGAAACTGTCTGAAACACCCACTTCTTCTTTGCTAGACACTAGGATTTGAGCAATCAAAATAAAAATATGTGCCAAGTCAAAACTTTGACAAATGAAAAGGACCATCATCAGAATATGTACGAAAATGCAATGAAAAAAGCAAATTAACTCTTCATCTTGTGCAGCTCATTAAAAAATGGTTGAATTAGCAAGCTAAAGATGGCTAGTTGAGAATCAAGTATTACTTAAAGTGGTGTATTTCTTTAAACCAGCACGAATTAGTGCAGGGGGTCCAACTGAATTCTTCCGTAGACAGACCCATGAGTTGAACCAAAATTAACTGAATTTAAGATTGGGTACATGACATATTCAAATAGATCTTATTGGTGGCAAGTTATGACACTTTTTTACCCTATAAAACTAATCCAAATAGCTTTACGAAGATTAAGCTGGCACCAAACTTGGATAAGTTAAAGCAATGTATAAATACCCAGTAACCATAACTTCTCATTGGTACTAATTATTCCGATTAAACAACTTGAAATCGATTAAAACTCAACCACTCCTATCTTAAATACCTATACATATTACCTTAGAGGAGAAACAAAGTCGGAAATAAAAAGTTAGAACTCAATTTATCTCAACAATAATGCGAATCAATAAGACTACATTGACCGACTGAAATACCGACTGACATATCCTGACTGACGTGTCAGTCTACGTGGCATATGCCACACGTCAGATTCGCGCCCAAAAGCTTAAAAAAAAAACTGATACGTCAGTCAGGATATGTCAATCGGTATTTCAGTCGGTCAATGTAGTCTTATTGAATGCGAATAACAAGAGAATACAAAAATTTAACTCCACCCATTTAGAAAAATTTAAACGAAAACAATTTGTGTGGTAAAAATGTAAGTGATAGGTTCAAAGTCAAACGAAGATAAAAAAAAAAAAAAATGCCATGAAAAGTAAAAACATATTTATCTTCTAAGCTTAAAGAAGGGTTTGTAATTGTAGTATTACTGTTAATTAAATTAAAACCGTACCCAGATAAATTTTGATGCAGTCTTTAGCCTCAACTCCAGCATCTATAACAGAACAAGCAGCAGAATTCAGCTAAACCCCAAAACAGCATTTTTGCAAATAATAAAAAAATTTTGAGGCTAGTATACTGACCAACGTCAGCGATGTCGACACGCCTCCTCTTCTTCGGTTCGGCGACGGGATCGGTGGACGGTTGCTTCTTTTGGCCCATATTTGGAAGAACTAGGGTTTTGCAGAGCGGGAAATGAGAGAAATTGAGGCGGGAAATTGTAGTGTACAAAAGGAGATAACTTAGAGCTAATATATAGTGGAGTTATGAAAGTTACTGTCTCCATTATGGACCACTTTTCTGCTTCCGGCCCAACCTAGTTACATAAAGCTCTTCATTTACTTTCTAAAAGAAAATTATCTTTGTAGGATTGTTTATTATGAGATATATCAAATTTTTCAAAAATCATTAAAAAAAAACCCCTTATAATTATTAATACCCTTAAAAGTTAAAATCTTATGTTATTAAAAATCTCACTCTTAAAAGTTTCAATAATTATAAGAGATTTTTATTAGTTTCCAAAAACTAAAGGATTTTTAATAGTTTCCAAAAACTAAACGTGTGCTTAAATTAAATTATAGGGGTTTGAAATAAACTTTGGAACTATCTCTAGATGACCGAATTCGATAGGAGCTTTTAAGTATACTACTCAAGAGGTTCTAAGTTCAAATCCTCCTTAAGTGCTAATAAATATATACACTAAAACTCTTACCTGATCGATAGTTTCAAGATTACGAGAGATTAGTCGAGGTATGTGTAAATTGTCAAACACCGTAGTCATTAAAAAAATAATAATAATAATAAACCCTGTTCTAAATAGGAAACTTTGGTGTAATTTGAAGGCCGAACGAACATGCACTCACCCATGGTTTATCGTAAAGACAAATTGGTACCCTCAAAGTTTGGAAATGATAAACACCAACCTTCCGTTAATATTTGTTGTTAAATTTAACTGAATAAGGTTAAGATAGTAAATTCAAAAACAAATGAAGGGTAATCATGTCATTTTATCCCTTTCTTATTCTGTTAAACTCACATTTCTTCTCTCCTCTTCATCTTCCACCTTGCTTCTTCAAAGCCTCCGCCGCTGCCAGCATTCTTGCTGCGGCTTTCTTTCCTTCTTCCTTCACATTTTCAGTTGATCTCACCTCCCATCACCATCCTCCTCCATCCCCAGCCGGATTTGACCCATTTTTGGCTGAAATTTCCTCTTTGCCGTAACCCATCTTCACCCTAGCAACCGCTGGATAATTTCTTCTTTTTCATTATACCCTTTAATAATTTCTTCTTTTTCATTCCCAAAAAAGAAAGAAAGAAAGAATTTTCCATAGAACTTCCAAGAGAGATTAAATTATAAACCGCATTCATAGCTTACCCTCCAACACCAGAGAAAAAGACAGGAACAGGAGCCAGATTCTTCAAAGCAGACATGAGACGAGAAGCAAAGGTGTCCCTAAAGACCTTTCCTGCTACTAGGAAAACTCTTAGTTCCCCATCTTTAATGGCCATGTCAACTACACTTTTGCTTGAAGTTGACATCCATTTTCTCTGTAATTTCCACAAAGCCGTGGTAGTTTTACTGCTCCTACTAAATATCTTGTTCAATATCATCTCCAATATTCCCCGATCGAGAGGAACACGGTACCTTTTGCTTGCTTTAACACAGTGCAGGTTCCTATTTCTTCTCGTCGAAACTGTACTAGTTCAAGCCTCTGAATTCTCTAATTTGAGTTTGGGCTGGGCTGATTGTTCATTATTATTGGGGTTGAATACGGCGGTTGCTAGGGTGAAGATGGGTTATGGGAAAGAGGAAATTTCAGCCAAAAATGGGTCAAATCGGGCTGGGGATGGAGGAGGATGGCGATGGGAGGTGAGATCAACTGAAAAGGTGCAGCAAGAATGCTGGCAGCGGCGGCAGCTTTGAAGAAGAAAGGTGGAAGATGAAGAGGAGAGAAGAAATGTGAGTTTAACCGAAGAAGAAAGGGATAAAATGACATGATTACCCTTTATTTGTTTTCGAATTTACTATCTTAACCTTATTCAGTTAAATTTAACAACAAATATTAACGGAAGGCTGGTGTTTGTCATTTCCAAACTTTGAGGGTACCATTTTGTCTTTACGGTAAACCATGGGCGGGTGAATGTCGTTCGGCCGTAATTTGAATAGGAAACAATACAGTTTCTATTTCCTACTTAATATTATTCTCCTTCAATAAGGAGATTTGATCCGGATCCTACTCGGTCAAAACTTAAACTTCTGTATACATATATAGCAATGATTTCTTCTTCAAAAATCATATACCCCGTTTCCCTGGAAGCCTACGTTCTTTCTTCGACCTTCTTCTACCTTTCTTTCTTTTCTTTGACCTTCCACCTTTCTTCGGCCTTCTAACTTTCTTTCTAATCAATAGTGAGATTGTCACAATGTCGACTCATCATATCGGAGTTGGTATGATCTCTGAGATTCTGTCAGACTGTCACGCGGTTCTTTGCAAACAATTGGAAAGTGGAGGCTTCTTTCCAAAGAATACAATAGTCCCACCTATGAATCAATTTTTTACACAACTTCATTCTCTAAAAGAACCAAAACAGTACGTTGATTTTTTATTCGAATTAGTGGAAAAGATAAATACACTTCAAAGTTTGTGTCGATAGAGAGCCCCCACATTCTAAATTGTCTCTTAATTTCTTGCCCCATCCCCTTGAGATCTTAGCGTCCACAAACCAAGGTCTTCTGTTATGTAAGAGCACAAATTACAAACACCGCCGCATACCCCGATTTTACGTTTGCAAGCATCTTACAAAAGAGTGGCAACAGATACCTAATCCAAAGACTCGCTATTTCACTGAAAGAATTGCCATGGTAGTTACAAAATCATGCGTATATCAGATCATAGTAAGTATTGAATGCTCGTAAGTTATTTTAACGTACTATGGTAGTTTTCGGTGTGACATCTTTGATTCAGAAACTTTGAAGTGGAAGTTAACGCGTGAAGAAATATTGACGTTTAGACCAGCGATATCAGTATGCGGTGCATTTAATTGGCTTACCAGTGAAGACAATATTTTTGCATTCAACGTAACTGATGAGACATGGACAAAATGGTTTCACTAGCGGAACATCTTGATGTGAAGAATCCAAAGATGGAGCTACCTGAGTTCGAAGGCAAGCTTGCCCTTGTGTGCAAGGAGAGTGAAAACTATGATGGCATGGAATTGAGGGGTAATGGATAACTATAGTAAAAGAATTTGGAAGAAGAGACCAATGGCAATGGTGATTACCAAACCTCTTGAAAAAGAGTATGATTTCGTTCCTGGGTTTGTAGCTTTTTGTAACGCGGATGTTACATTCATGGGAGGGCGTATATTTTCAACTTTAAAAAGGGCACTTATGATGAGGTAGAGGTGGAGGATATGGGTGGTTATTCTGAAATATTTACCTCACAATCGGACATGGAACCAAGCAATTTGAGCTTCAGAAGATTAGAGAATCAATCAGGAAACAAAAAACAGCAAAAAGTAAGCAAAGATTTGGTACTACTGGAAAATTAATGAAGTTGATAGATGTTTATATTAACTATGAACACGATTACTTTTTTAATTTATATTGAGTCTCTGTGCATCTTTTATTCACTGAGGACCTAATCAATGACCGAATGTATAGTAATTGAAGTATGGATATCTGATGGGAATGGAACCTATCTATGATATAGACACATGATAATGTTGCCTTGCTTGTAATCCTTTGCAAGTTTATTTTTCGGAATTTATATGGAAGGAAAATGTGGAGATGAGCTTAAAACCTATTCAATTGAAAGAATTATTGAAGATCAAGAAACGACTAATAGAAGTGAATTTTAAGCTGAAGAATAAACGTTGGTATTATTCAATCATAATCCCATTGAAAATCATAATCTGTGAACTATGCCAGTTCATTTTCATACGTTCAGCCTTCAGGCAGTCTTTCATTCATCAGTTTACCAGAGTAGAAACCTTCCATAAAACTTAACCACTCGCTCGCAATGCCTCAGCAAAAGCGATGATTTAATGCAAAAATTCTTCATAATACAGTATTAGGAATCTGTGATTTGAACTGATTTGGGCATCCCAAACTTCCTGGCTGAAATTGCACACAACAGATATATCCCACGCATTAAAATTAGAACTAACGTATCCTTCAATATATTTTTGAAGAAGCAAAAATAGAAAATACTACAGTGAAATACCAAATGGGCAGAACTCATTTTGTTCAAAAAACACTGAATTAGATTGAAAAATAGCACACATTCTCGTATAACAAGATAAAGGCCCATTAAACTTAAAACAAATATAAGTCAAAATCTAGATTCTACCCTTCCCAGCATAGTAGAAGGGGATAATCTCTCCAACACATTGATAAATTTAACATAAATGAAAAACTGTCTTTTTTAGCTCTAAAGACTAAATAAAAACCATCTGACGAACAAAGACATCCTCCCGCTACATTCACTTCCTACCACTGATCTTCACAGCCTGTCTGTTTCTCTTTTTGACACCAGATTTCGCAACCTTGAGGCTCCTGTTAACGGCACTAAGCCTTGCAAGGGCTGCCTTCTTCAAATCGGGCCTGTAGTAGTTATTAGCAACCTGAAATATTGGCAAGCAAGAAAAAATTAATAAAGGCAGCATAAACCAGACACTTGGCAAATTAGTTACAAGCACATAAAACTCAACTGCTTCTCATGCAACACAATACATCAGACATTCAGATAGCGTAATCCTTCAGGTAAATAATGAATCCTACTTGAAATTAGACAACATTCAATCCTCCGAAAAGATTACAGTCTAAATTTCAACGGAACCAGAAATATAACTTTTCTATCAAATCTATCTACTTCTGTTGACTTCTAGTTCTAGGTAAACTGTATATGCCTCTTCAGGTCCTCAGAATACTAAGAACTGATGCTCAATCAAAGGAAAAAGTCCATAGTAAGCTCAGAAGCCAAGCGTAACAAATTATATTTCATAGAAGATCCACAAAAAGAGGGGTCTTCTTGCATGTTAACTTCTCATCATAGCTTCGAAGTTAAATTTCAGTAATTCCCCATACCCAAAGAATTCTTTAAAGCTCAGAAGCCAAGCGTAACAAAGTATATTTCATTGAAGATCCACAAAAAGAGGGGTCTTCTTGCATGTTAACTTCTCATCATAGCTTCAAAGTTAAATTTCAGTAATTCCCCATATCCAAAGAATTCTTGCGTGTCAATTACAGCTCAGAAGCAAATCATAATAAATTACATTTCATTACATCTTAACTCCTCAAACTGGTTTGAAAGTTAAATTTTGCGTAGCTCTTAAATCCATAGAATACCTAAATGCCATGTAAAGCTCAGAAGCCAAGCGTAACAAATTATATTTCATTGAAGATCCACAACAAGATGGGTCTTCTTACATGTTAACAGCTCATCATAGCTTCAAGTTAAAATTTTAGAAATCCAAAGAATTCATACAAGCCAATTAAAGCGGGTCTTCTTCCATGTTAACTTCTCATCATAGCTTCAAAGTTAACATTTTAGAAATCCCCAAATCCAAAGAAATTCATAAAAGCCAACTAAAGCTCAGAAGCCAAGCGTTAACAAAATATATTTCATTGAAGATCCACTGCAAGAGAAGTCTTCTTACATGTTAGCTTCTCATCACAGCTCAAAAGTTTAAATTTTAGTCTCAAAAGTTAAATTTCAGTACACTAAATCCAAAGAACCACAACATAGAAGCCGCCCATCACGCCCAGTTAGCCAGGACACTTGTCTCAAGTTAGTAGTTCATTTAAAAAAAAAAAAAAAAAAGGCAATAAAAAGTAGAAACATTTTATAACAATTAAACCAATTATTGCACAACATACTTAACACGGACAAATAATTCTCAAAAGCAAAAAAATATAATAAACCAAGATATTAAACACACGAAGTAAAGTAACCTGTTTCACCGCCTTGGCCATCCTAGGGAACTCCTTCCTCATGACGGTTTGTGAAGCAAGCGAGCAGGCTTGTTCTGCTTCTTGGTCTTAGTGGTACTAGCACCACCACAGATCCTTGCCACCTGGCTGAATAGACACGTTTTGCGGTTGCCACCCTAAGTTCATGTAAATTAAACAAATCAGCAATAAAATCTAACAAAAACCGACGCTTTGAACAGCTAGTTGTGGGCGTACCTGAGTGCTTGTAAAGTTGAGATTGTAAAGGTTATTTGGTTCCTTGCTGAACCGACGCCGGCGTGCCATTGCCGAACTGTTTCACCAAGAAACAGTTGTTCTTCTTCACGATCTCCCAAATCAACTGCACTGGAACTGTCGCCATTCCTCTATATTCTCCGTTACACTACTGAAAAAAATAAAACATCAGATATTGTTAATCATATAATAAATGAACAACATCATATGCTAGATACAAGATCATGATATGGGAGATTTAATCGTTAGATAGCCTAAAGAGAAAGATCGACCTACGGTGGCTGAGAGAGCGAGAGGGTTTAGGGCTGCCAAGAACTGCATAAGCTCTATGCCAGTTATATAGTGTTAAACCCTAATTACACTAGTGAACCCTATCAATTTGAGAAATAAATTAAAAAATTAATTATTGATTATGAAAGTTAAAAAGTGGGCGTTTGGTCTAGTGGTATGATTCTCGCTTTGGGTGCGAGAGGTCCCGAGTTCGATTCTCGGAACGCCCCAGTTTTAGTTTTTTAATATTTTAATTTATATTTTTCACGATTTTATTTTAACAATCAATTTTATCTAATCATAATCCTCAAAGATAATCAGCTATAGTAACTAAATGTTTAATTTAAATTCGTGCTATTAATAAATAATGAACTAATGTAAATTATTTTATATCAATTTAGTAACCCTTCAATCATTAGTTTAGTGTATTATATGGATAAATGATCTCACAAATTTCTGTTTACACTTTTAAAATAGAATTATTTTCTTTATATATATATATATTAAGAGTTTTCAAATGAATGTTATTTATAGTTAAAATATGAATTATCATAAAATAGAGAAAAATTACATTTTATAACCACATAATTCAATAATATTTTAAAGTATTATAACCAAAATTTTCTATTTACTAAAGGGTAAGGACATGGCATTCTCAGTAAATTTAAGCAATATAATCAACTAAAACTTAGTTATAACTACTCTGAATGGTTAAATGATTTATAGATTTTTGTTTATTATTCAAAAGATCTTAAGTTTGATATTTAGACCTTGAAAATTATTGAAACATTGATATACATATAAATTATTACTCTTTTGAAAAAAAAAAAAAACTATGAATTCTGTTTTTCCTGAGTCTTAACTTGAAAAAGAAGCAAAAGAAGAATGAAAACATTAAATTACTAATAAATTTTGCTTTCTAAATAAAATATTTGACAAGGTATACCGTGTGATTTTTAAACCTTACCATGCCAATGTCAATTCACTTGGTTAACTACACAACATATTAAACAGAGAAAAAGAAGATTACATTGTTTCAGTATTTAATATATAATTGCTACAATCAAAATAACATCTTCATTGTATGTTGATAAAACTACATGAAAGGTAATAACTAGGAATATATAACAAATATACAACTATACAAAAGTACAGAAATACGACAACCTTTTGGTTCCTTTTTTACCTTTATCTTCATCCACTCTCTGCAAAAACTGCAAACAAATAACAGTGAGGCATACAGTTGAATCATTCATATGGCTCCTTTAGAGGCAGGATGCACTGTGCGTGAGGGTTTCGGACATAGATGTATATGAAAAAGCCAGTAAGAAAGCATCCATTATCTCTAATTGCTGGTAGGAGGCTAGATATCTTCCCAATCATCAAATACAATTTCCTTCTCCAAGCATTTGATTATTCTCACGGCCATATAATCCATAGGTCTTTCCAGGTCAACTGTGATTCAGCCAATTGTAATGCATTCAGGGTTGCAGAACACTACTCTAATCAATTCTACTGAAACTCCTAAAATACAGATACCAGAAGCTGAAATATAAAGCAGCTCTAACAGATGAAGCGTCATTCATTTTCGTCTCATAGAATCGAGATGCAAAATCAGATGTCATCAGAGAGCCAAGTGTCTTCTGTTCCTTCCTTCCACATTCCCCATTTCCATCTAACTTGTGGATAATCAACTGTACACCTAGAGATGAACTTGCTAGCAGTGATGGAATCTACTTCACGGTGGATTAACAAGGCCAAAGAAGACAAGTTGGTGCATTTATCCAAAATGCAGTATATGATTGACAGTGACACATCAATATCATCTATCACCAAGTGTGCCATAATTTCTTTAAGCTCCTTCATTTCCGTCCGATTTTCTAAACCTCCTTTGCGAAAGCAGGTCTCCACTTCTGACCAAGCCCTGGGGCCCAAAGAAAGAGAGTTCACATTTGGAAAGACATTGAACAATGCCCCCAGGTCAAGTTTTCTTATTGTCTCAGGCTCAGTTGATTTCAACAAGTCCACCTTTAACTTCTTAATTGTATTACCAAGAGGAAATGCATCAATGATGCTACAAAAACTTGAAGATTCAAGCTGAAGGTTCTGCAAATTCAGAAACTCTTTTACTCTAACATTACCTGCTTTCTCAAGTGAAAGATGGAAATCGGACAACAAGGGAGTTTCAAGAACAAGGAATTTTGGTTTTATACATTTAAGTTTCAGTTCAACGAGGTTGGGTGCAAATATAGACAGCGAAAGGGGAGCATTTGATACTGTCCACAGACATGTTTTAAGGTGCAAGAGATGAATCTTTGGTTCTTTAAGTCCTCCAACTCCGACCAAACTGAGAACTTGTAGACAAGGGAAGCATTCATTAACCTTGTTTAGGTCCTTGTCTTCAAGTCTTACAAATTCCAATGTCAAACTAGTAAGCCTGGGCATAGGATTTAGGCCATCCACTGAGAGCCAAGCATTTTTCACCTCAAGTTCAAGAAGCCTATGGCCTGAACATGCATAATTTAAAAAACAATAGTATACAAGATAAAAATATAAATCAGAAAGAAAACCTTCAAAGCAATAAACAATCAAACAGAAGCCTAGTTGGATGGTCAATAGTAAATCCCTAGTTCATAATGAGCAATGCCCTAAGCTTCCATGAGGAATACCCATAGCCAAACAATTTATTTCCCCTTACTCTTTCCTTTCTTTTCCTTTTCCATTTAGTGATCATCACATTAATTATCTTCTGTATGCAAGGAATTAAACAAGTCCTTAAACTTAAATTTCAGCTGCATTCTACAAACGATTAATTTTAGACATCTACATAATTAAAAACGAGAAAGTCTTCTAACCGTACATATGTTTGTGCAGGAACTCTAGCCCAACTCATCAAATAGGATTGAATGTAATTGCAGAATTTATACAGTAAGTTTATGTGTCTTTTCAACAATTATTACATAAAAAAACATTTAATCTGTATACATAAGGGTTCTTTCACTTCAATGGAAAATCAAATAATATTGACATCAATGATCCAGTAAATGCAAGAAAACAATCATTCTCCCACCATGCTAAATAATTTTGCCCTCTTCTCAATAATAAAGAGTGAAAAGACCCATGGAAACTGCTCCAACATCCTTAAAAGATGATCTATATCCAATTTCCCACGAAAAATCATATACAATCTTTGCTGTAAAGCTGTATTAGCTCCTTATTTACTAAAAGCAAGGCCCCTTCTGCATGGCTAACACAAGCCAGATTAATAATGGAAATGGATTTGACTTCAACGCCCATACAACAGGCATAATACTGAGCAAAAACTTGTTGATCAACGGGATCTAACTTTTACTAGTTAGCAAACCTACTTTGTAACAAATAAACATAGCGACGCATCATTTCCGTAGTTTCAGCATGTTTAAACCAGCAAAAATACACATTTAATTTCACAAGCAAAAGGCAGGTCCAGCTCTGGCAGCCAAAACAACAATAAAAACACTTCCAAAAGATAGAAAGCACGAATCCGAATACTCACAGCAGGAAGAAATCAAAGCCAAAACCTCGGACTTTCTCCAACAAGACTGAAGCCAAAAATCTGAAATAGACAAAAACCTCAAGTCTTCACAAACCCTAGGCAACCAATCCTTCACAAATTCGATATCGTTCATGTAAAGATCATCATACTCGTCATCCAAGTCGTCAAACGCGATTCCCGCCAACGACCTGTCCACACCAATCGATATGGACTCGAGGCGCCTGGTATTTTGGACGAGTTTGCGAAAGATCGTCTTGAACGGTGTGACTCGGTTTCTGCCCTCCTCTGACCGAGATTTTTGGTAGCGACATAACGTGCATATGAGATTAATGTATTGTACATCTTGAGCGACAGAGTGTAAGGTTTTGGAGGCGACTTGGCACCGAGCAAGATCGGAGGAATCGGTGAGTCGACTCAGGATATCGAGAATCAGAGAATCTGGGAGATACTCCCCCATTTTGATCTAACACGTGATCTCACGTGCACCTCTCGGCAAATGTTCCTTGTGATCTCTGAAATACCTAAAATGCCACGCACAAGAAATAAATAAAGTCAAGGCCCAAAGTTAGCCCAGCCCAACTAAACGACGATTATAGAGCTTTATTAGTGTATGCAAACTAGGGTTTTGTCCTTCATTTTTAGTTCAGCTTTCGTCTCCACATTTGCCTTTCTCTTCTCAGTGTTGAGTTCCTTCAACTTCAATTCTAAGGTCTTTGTCTAAGCTTTGGTTTTCTAGCACTTAAAAAGCTTAATCATCTGTTTATTTTTTTGGCATAAGATCTCTCAGAAAGCATGTTTAACTATTGAAAATACGTTATTCTAATTGATGATTACGTGATGTTTTGTGGTGATTTTGATGTGACAAGTGGGTGACTGAATGCAGGTACGTGCAGTTGAAGAGAGAGAAGGAGAGTGAAAATGGTGGAGAAGGTCAAGGGAAGAAAAGAGGAGGTGGTGAGCAGAGAGTACACCATCAATCTTCACAAGCGCTTACATGGCTGGTTAGTGATTTCTATTTTTTTGTTCAGTCTATCTATTGCATTTGACGCGCTAATTAGCTTCATGTTTGGCTTGTTTTCTTTTGGCCTTTTTAAAATATATTATTGGCTTGTGATACAGTTTGTATGCATTACTTTGAATGACAAGTTGATGAGTCGGGGTAGTGATTGACCAGAGAGACTTGGAGGGACATGGTGGTGAGTTACTGGTTCAAGGATTTTGTATTATGCAGGATGTAAGGGTTTCTTGGTGATTATCGTGGTCTATTTGCAATAGGGTATTTGTGATTTGCAGGTCCACTTTGGTATTGGTTGTTAAAGTATGGATCGTTAGGTTAAGCTTGGTTGATTTAGGTTTTGTTTTTTAGTTAAGAGTCAATGGGGCAGTTCTCAGAGGTTTCAGAGGGAAAGAGGGATGTGGTAGCAGTGGATGTCTCTTTGAGTATTGAGGTTTGAGTGGAGCATCAGAGCATGGTGTTTATAATTGGTGCAGACCATGGTGTTCAGTTTTGTATCAAAATTGGATCTGAAAGATGTCTTTTGATTAAAACAAAAAAGTTTTTACTTAATTATTCTTTTCATTATCTGTCCATTTATTCTCTATATAATCTTTATTTTGTAAAGGAAAGTAAATAGAACAATATATTGCTAGAATGAAAGAGAAAAACAAAAAGATATAGGATTTATCAATCTCTATTCCATCCATTATCTGGAAAAAGACAACTGTATTCTGAAGTTGCTGGAGCTGTAGGATGTAGCGGGATGATATTGAGGAAGTTCATCAGTACTGTTTTCTTAGATTGCTGACTTTTATTTTGTTACCTGTTCATTTTTTATGATATGAAGATTTTTTTATTTTTAGCCTTGTGTGTGATGCCATTGACAGACTATGTCATGGTGATATACGGCATAGATTTCTTGTCATTTTTGCTTTTTTACATTATTGTTGTGTGCATGTTAACTTGTATATTGTTTCATTTCTCCAGTTGGTTTGATAATTTGTTAGAACATTTGAATTCAAAAATTGACTAATTCTTGTGCTTTCATTCTGGAAACAGCACATTTAAGAAGAAGGCGCCAAAGGCCATTAAGGAGATAAGGAAATTTGCAGAGAAAGCTATGGGGACTAAGGATGTGAGGGTTGATGTGAAGCTAAACAAGCATATCTGGAGCCGGGGCATCCGAAGTGTTCCAAGGAGGATCAGAGTTCGCATTGCTCGCAAGAGGAATGATGATGAAGATGCTAAGGAAGAGCTTTTCTCTCTTGTGACTGTTGCAGAAATCCCAGCAGAAGGATTGAAGGGACTTGGCACCAAGGTCATTGAAGATGATGAATGAATCATCAATCTTTGTTTTTGATGGGCAGGATAGGTTTACATGGGATTTTGGCCATTGTTTTAAGTTTTATGTGGACTAGTATTTTTCATTTTCTGGTTTTTGTTGTTCAGATTTTTATTTTGACTTCGTTACTTTGGGTTTTACTGAACACTGTAACTTTAGAGTTTTACTTTGCCGTAACTTTGTTTGTTTGAAAAGGTAAAGACTGAGTTGCTCTTGCCATGCTGCCTAGCTCAAGGCTATTGCATAATCTTCCATATAAGTTAAAACCGTCAGTCACAGTAAATTATTTTTAGTTCTAATAAGTTCTCTTTATCCGAACAATTTACTCCACATTTTTTATTTTTCTTTTGATATCTGATAGAGTAATTCATTTTCTAAATCCTAATGAAATAGTGATAACGAGGAAATCCTTATTACAAAATAGTTATTTAAACCTCAGGGAAAAAATTGCACTTTTGAACATTTTAAAAAAAAAAAAAAATTGAAATGGCAGTTATAATCTATCCCGATGCTCCGTTTGAAATGTTGGGTTGGCGAACAGAATGCCAAAAAGTTGAATGATTTAACTAAATTTACTATAAAGTATAAACACTGAAATGAGTAGCAGTCAACTACCATGGCATTATGGCATACAATATACCGTCAAAGATATCTCACAAAAAGAGAGGATAAAAAATTTAAAATAAATTCCCTCATGGTAGAGGTGTCTTGTCAACTTCTTCCGCCATTAAAGATGAAGATAAAAAGTTCACCACAGCATAATGGTTCCCCTCTCCAATTTCTGTCCCAGTAGCCCAATTGTATTCTTAGATCAAGTTTGAAACCATACCCCGTCTGTCGTCCAGCTCCGGTCAAATTAGAAGATAAGAGAGGAGGGAACTTTTAGCTCACTTTATAAGCATACATATAGCCTCGTAGTTTTCTTACTTCCTCTGATGACTCGTTCAGTAAGTGGTCTACATACAGGCAAATTCCAGCTCCACTGCAATTTCATCAGATGAAAGTAAATCTCCAAGTTGTCTTCTCAGTAATAACAAGATAAAAGACAGATGCCTCAAATTGAAAACATACCTAAGAGGTCCAAAAGGAAGCCAGATAACATCCCACCGAAATTTTGGCAACCTAGCTCATAGATTAGTATTAACATAAATTGCATAACAATGTTTTTATACTCAACATCAATTATAGAAACACAAAACCATCAAAAAAATTAATCTAAGAGTTCCATGTACCTTAGCATGTAATATGACCAGAAAACTGCAAGTACGAAGCCAACAAAACATGAGTACCAAATCCATTGCCTCCGATCTTTTGAATTATGAACAAGCCCTTTGATGGCCAAGGAGCATGCTAAAACAGCCATCCAATCTGTTAAATACTTAATTAGTGTACAGAAGATGATGAGAACTAGAAAGAAATCTCATATCATTTATGTCGGAGACACACAAGCACCCAATCCACCATTACTTGTACCATAGTTTGGCAATACTAATCACAACAATAGAATCATATGAACTATTTCAGCTTCTTAGCATCATGGATTCATCAAGTCAAACAATGAAAAGAAATTAACACCTCTCCCTCTTAATGAAACTAATTTTGGGTCCAGTTGATTGAGATTTTAAACATAAGTAAAACTGGCTCGATTCTTCAATTGGTGAGAGAAATATAATCATATTTTCCAAAGTTACTGGAAGTACTAATTGTTACCCGGAAAATTAACAATTTGGTAAACATAGGAAAATGATCCCAAAATTTATATTTTGCAAACAGTTACTTGACTTAATTTGTGGACATGAACTAGAGAGACACTATATTTTGCACATAGCAGTTCCAAAAATATAGGTAGGAAGATACAACTTCATGTATGAATTTTAGTCAGTTTCCACTTCTCTGTGCTAGTACAAGTAGAAGCTATAAGAGAATCAATGAAAAAAGTAGTCCTAGAGTATCATTATTTAATATAGAGTATCTATTTTGATCCATTTTTTCTACAAAATTTGTTAAAAAACAATTACGATTTCAAACATGATATCATCCATCCTTGCATCAAAATAGTCCAAACAGATACTTCCCGCAGCTAGAGAGAAATGACAGTAAAAATTGGAGAGATACATTGGCACATCAATCTCTGAATTCAGGTGTCAAATACAAATCAGCTCAAGAAAAACGGATACCAAATGAGAACAGTAAAGAATTGAACCTGCAGTTATGATCATCCATGAGTCAATTTCTTCCATGAAGTAAGCATGATAGCGCTGGCACAAGTCACAAGTGCTCAGAAATGACAATATCAGTTGGCAAAAAGCAGAAAGTAAATCATCAAAGCACAATGCAAACAATAGCCCGTTACTTCCAAATTTGAGTTATGATGACTATTTCCGTAAGGTAGTGTATCTCAGTACTGTTAGGTCAAATTAAACTTCACTAATTCTACCTATAACTCTTACTAATAGGATATACGCACTTAAAACAAAATGATCTGAAATTTAACATAGTCACTGAATTCTTCACCGGCACATTTAAGACAGGAGATAACCGTTTAAAAAATATTTTAACTAGTACATTCTTTCCACAACTTTAATATAGTAGCTTTGATCAAATACAGTAATGCAGAAGATAGTAGATTAATGGAGAGCAAATACAGAGATAAAAGTTCAATTGGCACAAGAGATTGATTCATACCAGTTCCCAGGGAGACAAAACCTGCTGAAAGATAGAGTAAACAAGAAACATAGCGAAACAAAAGACAAATGCTGCGAACGCACTCTATTGAAAACAAAACAGAAGAATATCAGATAAATATTTCAGAAAAAGGTTTAATCTAAAATTATTTTTATGAAGGGAACTTATAATACCCTCCAAACCAGGCTCTGCTGAGCTTGACTCCTTTCCAATGACCGAACAAGCTCCTCTTGTTCTGTTAATTCACAATAATGAATAAATATTTGAAAATTGAATAGACAGAAATCAATAAAAGAGTGAATGAAGGTAACCCCTGCTTGGTTGATGAGAAAATAAATTTTAAAATGCCACTTTTAATAAGAGGGAATGTCTTAGTAATAAGAAATGAAATTTTAATATATATATTGAAAATGAAAAGTAGAACTCCAATCCGGGGAAGAGGAGAGACCTTGGGTGTCCATGGGACGAGAATCGTCGAGAGTTGGGAGAGAGAACTTGTCTTCCTCCCGAGAATTTCGCCAGTTTCTTGTTAACTTCCTTACCGTCAACATATCCATCTCTGCTAAACAAAACCACTATTTGCCGCGGTTCAGAATTGAGCAAAGTCAATCAACAGGATCTGGTAGGTGAATTACAAACGCAGTTGGCTCACTGTTCTAATGTAACATGGCAAAACGCAGACCTCATTACCGTTTTACCTTACGGAGACTAAAAATTTAGCTCCATTATAACACGATCCGCACCGTTTTTCATTTTCTTGCTGAGTCTGATTTCAGAGCTGGGCGGGCCCAAGGACCGGTCCCTCCTTCGAGGCCCGGGCCTGGGTCTGATTAATTTCAGAATACCCCTAACCAAATAATGGAAACCCCCCTTAGTATATACAAAAATAATAAATTTAACGATTAAAATTAATTTTTAAATTAAAAAAAAAAAAAAGACCGTTGAGCAACAGTCAAATGGACCGTTGCGCAACGGTCAATTCGATCAAATTGACCGTTGCTAGGGGGAAAGTGCAAAAAAATTTCCCACCCATGCCTAACCTATAAATATGCCTATTTTCAACCCATTTTCCTCACAACTCTCATTCTCTCTACTCTAAATTTTAAACTCTCTTCAATTTCATCTATCATTCAATTCATTATTCAATTTCATTTATTATTCAATTTATTATTTATATTTATTCATTATTTAATTTCATTCATTATTCAACTTCATCTATTATTAAATTTATTATTTATTATTTATTATTTAATTTCATCAATTTTAGTTATTTATTATTTTATTATAATGGATTCCTCAAATTATGGATTTGGAGGATCATCATCATCATCATGCGACTCTAATGAGTATTCGGAGGAGCATGGTTCAAGCAAAACCGGTAAGCAAATTCAAACTCAACTTAATTTTAATCCACAATCTTCAACTCTGTCAACATGGCAATACAATGCACTCCAAGCACAAGAGGAAATAGCAAGATACATAGTTGCTACGGACTCTCCAATTTCTTTATCTGAAAATCCTTATTTTATTTACATGATTAAAAAAGCATTTTGTCCAACATATACCCCTGTTAGTAGAGATATAAGCAGAAGGGATATACTAAAACTTTATAACAAAATAAATGTTCAACTTAAAAACGAATTTCAAAATTTAAGGAATATATCTATTGCACTTACTTCAGACATATGGGCTTGTAGATCAAAAACAGATTTTTTAACTGTCACAATACATTATTTAGATCATAGTTGGGGTTTACAACAAAAATTGATAGGTTTTAAACCATTATATACTGCACATAGTGTTGACACTGTTTATTTTACAATTATTGAAGTTTTGCAAAAATATATATTAACTGATAGAGTTGTAGCATTAACGCTAGATAATGCAGCTGCTAACACCGTGACTATCTCTTTATTTGAAAAGAGATTGGATCCGTGTGGTGAAGGCAAATTTTTTCATCAGAGATGTGCTTGCCACATCATCAATTTGATTGTTAAAACAGGTTTAGAAGCTATAAATTCGAAGATTGACAGAGTGCGCGCGGCTATCGAATTCATCGCTGGCGGTAGCAACAAAAGATGGTATGAGTACGTCAAATATTGTAAGCAAGAGGACCCACCGGTTCGACCTTTGAAGTTATGTATGGACATACCTATCCGTTGGAACTCCACTTACTTGATGTTGGAAAAAGCTTTGCCAACCGCAAGACAAATTACAGATTTCGTCAACCAGAAGAACTATCCGGAGGAAGTTGTTAGCTATGATGATTGGACAGTTTGCGAACTTTTTTATTCATTTCTTAAAGTTTTTTATGATTCCACTAATACATTAAGTAATATTTATTATCCTACTACTAATTTAGCGTTAGATGTTTTACTTCAAATTTCTATAAATTTTGCTAAATATAGATATAATGACATCTTAATGGAAATTGTTTCAAATATGGAAAAAATGTACAAGAAATATTGGTTAGATATTCCATTCTTATATGGATTAGGTCTTGTTGTAGATCCTAGGTTTAATTTACATGTAGTTAATTGTATAATTACTGATATGGGTCAACATTTAGGACATGATTATACGTCTTATTTGACTAACTTTAAGCAAAAATTGGAAAGCCTTTTTTCTTTATATCAGAGCAGGTACAATGAAATTGGCACGTATAGCAAAGACGACCAGCAGGACCCTGATAAAGACATCTATCAAAGATCGGGCAAGTGGGCGTATATAAAACATAGCGGAAGTAGTAGCTCCAGCTCATACATACATATACCAAATGAGCTGAATCGCTACTTACAAATGGACATGTCCTACATGACAATCAAGGAGAAACGTGAGATGGATGTACTTCAATGGTGGAACCAACATCAAAGTAGATTCCCCATTGTAGCTCAAATGGCACGTGACATTTTATCTGTGCCAGTTTCAACAATTGCAACCGAGTCGACATTCTTAACGAGTTGTCGAATTATTGAAGACAGAAGATGTTTTTTAACAAATGAAATGATTGAAGTGATAACGTGTTTACGGGATTGGACTCATGCAGAGAGAATATTATAACAATATCCTGAAGATCCCAAGCAACTCAAACTCTTCAGGATCACAGATTTAAATGATGTAAACATTGTTGACGATGTGAATGAATAATTTAATAAAAACAAATTTATTTAATTATTTATTTGTGAAGTGTGATTATGTGAATATTATATTTATATTAAAATTATTTAATTAAATTATCTCTTTAAAGTATACATTTAAAACACCCTATTAATTATAATTAATCATTAATTTATTATTTTTTAAAATTAATTAAAAATTTACTAATCTCTCTCTAAAAATTACATAAACCCCTTTACATAATTTTTTTATCCCAAATATAAAAAAATATAAAAAAAGTTGGGGGAGGGGAGAAAAATTTTTCAGGCCCATATGTGATTTATCCCAATCAGTCCCCGCTAGGTCTATTAAAAATTAAGGGAGTTAATAAACTTACTGACCCGTGGGACTGGTCCCAAGACCAGTCCTATGGTCTAGGACTGAACTAGGGACTGGTCCTGGCCCTCAAAATTTTCATGAGCCCGGACCAGTCCCATGAAAATTGGGCCTCCAACTAGTTCGAAGCATAAGCAGCCATGGTAATGTGCAGCATGAAAACACCAAGTAAATCATCTGAAAAGACAAATCCAGCAAATATTTATAACATAAACTGCAATATCACAAAAAATACAATAATTTCAGTGCGAGCATCATGTAAACGCTTTGATTACCTTGTTTCAAAAATAAAAAATAAAAAAGTTACTATGATGATGAGCACAGTAACTACCATAATTTGAATACTTCAGGTAAAGTACTTTGTATAATAAACTAAAGATTAGAGATCTGCTCTCCCGGGATATCTGGGGAAGGGAATAACATCTCTAATGTTGTCGATGCCCGTGGCGAAGAGAATCATTCGTTCAAAGCCTAAACCAAATCCACTGTGTTTAACTGTGCCAAAGCGTCGCAGGTCAAGGTACCACTCATATGGCTCAAGAGGCAGCCTCATCTCCTCTATTCTGTAATGCATCACACCCAAAAAAAGATGCTTGTTAATAAATCATATTGCAGATTGTGAGAACTTGTACGGCTTGGTAATTAAAGAGCAAAACCCCCCCAAGAAAAACAAAAAAGCAGCATATGTATTTCCAATGACTACAACACAGACCAACAAAGCACAGTCATTTCTCATACCTGCTCTTAATAATATCATAACGCTCTTCCCTTTGGCTTCCCCCAATTAACTCTCCCACCTACAATATAAAAGAACCAAGTAACATATATGCAACCAAATAATATCTTGGAGAATCAGTTCCAGTTAATTATTAGAAGAAAGCAGCAGGAAAACAATGCGAAAAACGCTTAGAAGAAACAGATCACCTTTGGTACAAGAACATCCATAGCAGCCACAGTCTTTGAGTCATCATTCACCCTCATGTAAAATGCTTTGATTCCTTTTGGGTAGTTATACACAATAACAGGCTTCTGAAACTTGACCTCTGTTAAGAATCTGCAATAGTAGACGAAACCAAGACATAACTTCCCACACTTAGAGCTGGAAAAACACATAAGCCATGACTTGCATACCTTTCATGCTCAGATGCTAAATCAATTCCCCACTCCACCTTATTCTCAAACTTCTTTCCCTCTTTCACAGCTGCTTCTAGTATTTCCACCGCTTCGGTATATGTTATGCGTTCAAAGGGAGTTGAAGAAACCATTCTTAGACGATCAATGCAACTTTTATCATAGTTTTTAGCCATAAATTCCATATCATCAAAGCATTTGTCAAGTAACCACTGACACATAAATTTCACATATGCCTCCGCACAGTTCATATCATCCTACAAATATAAGATAGCTGTTTTGGTCATCAACTTAAATGTACTTAAAAACCGCGAAAATAGATTGCTACCAGTCCATAGCACCAAGCATCAGCAAATCAAGAACAGCAATGAGACTAATCTCAGCATAGATCACATAGTCACAGTTAAAACATAAAAAAATAGTCAAAGCTACGAACATAGAAACAAGTTTATTAGCTTACGTCACATGCCTGAATTCAGGAAATACAATAAAAATTTTAAATCCTATTAGTCACTGAAAGAACTTTTCCACATCTGGTGTATACATGAAAAAGATGTCAAGAACAAATAATCCATCTTGTATCAGAAGTTTTTACATTTTCCTCAGTACTTCTCTTTGTACATCTTCAATTATCCAAACTAGCTGAAAAGGCCATTCAAATCAAGAACTCATAATTTTAGCCTTCCCAACTCATAAATCCTGTTTTCCACCAAACATGTACATGCAACTGATGTGAAGTTTTTATGACAAACCCAATCACACATTAACACAAACATGAATTTGGAATTTGGAATTTGGTTATCAAATAGCACTATGATATATATCCTAATTAGCTTAGGACAGATTTTTCATATAAATACACAAAAATGTAAAGGCTCATATAACATATAAACTTCTATCAAACTTCAAAGCTTCTCAAAAACCTAACATAGCGTAATATACCTTAATATCCGCAAAAGCTATTTCAGGTTCCACCATCCAGAATTCTGCCAAATGCCTGGAAGTATGGGAGTGTTCAGCTCGAAAAGTTGGCCCAAATGTATAGACATTGCTAACAGCACATGCATAAGTTTCAACTTGGAGTTGTCCTGAAACAGTCAAAAATGCCTGA